GCACATAACACAGAAATTTTGGTTATTCGCTTGGATTTGATTTATATTTTCATACCTTTCTAACAGTGTTGCCGACTTCTTAGTATTTCTGTGAGTAGGCTGATCTGCTGATCTGTGCTGAACACAGTGAATTCAATTAACCAGTGTTTCATTATTTAATTGTGGTGTTCATCCAAAATGTCTAAGAGGCTTAATGACTTGCTAATACTAGACACAATCGATAGCTCATCAGAAGATAAAACAAATGCCGAAAACGGTTACCTCTTAGCAGTGATTGCTTCTAATCAAAAAGAAAACCCTAGATACTGGTTATCTAACCATATCAGGTTTAGGAAGGAACGAGGAGAATTTACACTGTTCAAAGACTTAAGTGATGAAAAATTCGCGAATTATTTACGAATGGATAGACAATTTTTTTATGAATTGCATGATATGATAAGAGAAGAATTCTGTAGATATTTTAATACGTATGGAAGCGTTCCTTGGCGACAAACCTATGTGTCGAATTGATTCGTGACATGGACATTGTATTTCTAAAATTCCCTTTGTTTTGTATTTAAATAAGGTTTTTCTAAGGTTGGATCTAGTTTTTTTATCGTAAAAGTAAAGTGTAGTTCACAGTCTAAAACCCTCAAACTCTTTTGGACATGTCTACTTATAGTAGGGGAGCCCACGATGCTAATATATAATACATATTATATTATCGCTCACCGTCCGTTCTCAAGGTTTGGATCACTACTTGTTTTTTTACTCTGAAGCAGCTGCGCAGCAGAAGCCTGAATGGAAATAATTTTGTTAATCCGATTTTTGAACTGCCTGAGGTTAGTAGAACTGGGAAAAGCCCCCTCTTGTAGATTTGTCCCACAATCATGTCACAATAGGCACAAAGGTGCGGACGCATCGGCCAGTTCTGGATGTACGAAGTTCGACCCGGTTAGGATCGATGGCCGAAGTCAGGCTGATCTGAGTGGTAGGTACATTGCGCGACGGCATCATGGAGAAGAGCTCCTAGGAGCAAAGCCCATTGGTGTAGCGGTAGAAGAGAGCTAGATCGCCAACGGCCCGACAGTGCGAAAGGGTCCAGAGACTGTCTGTTAGAGAAAAGCCATAGATCAGTCGGACAACCCTCCTCTGAACAGCATCGAGCAGGGATAATGTAGTCAGGGCGGCGGCACCGCAAACATGTGAGCAATACTCGAGGCTAGGTCTTATCTGGGCCTTGTATAGAGTGAGGAGGTAATGTGGAGAAAATACACTGGAGCTATAGGGCATTTTGTCCGAAAAGATACTCAGCAGCTTGAAATTAAGTCACTTTTCTACAGAGAGAATAGAAAACTTTCGTTATAATGAGCTTTTTGAATTTATGCATCGTCTATACAATTAAATAGATTTGGGTCATTCTCTCTATAAGCGTTATTTTGGTATAACAGGGGTAGCATAAATTAAGTTATTTGTAGTTTCTCCAAAATTACAGTGTAAAATAAATAAGTTCCACGTTTAACCAAGGGCTTTGAGTGAATCACAAGTAATCTTATTGAAGGCTATGTGGTATTTATTTTAAGTTTCAACTTCTGCTGGTAATAATAACTAAACTTCATATTAATTTAACCTTCCTAAAATGTCATACCAAAATAAAGCTAATAAGAGGATTAACCAAGGCCGTAAAATTATACAAGTTCTTCTAATTAATTTTTTGAGAATAACAATATTTGGCGTTTATAAACGCACTGTATAGACGATGCAAAAATCGAATTAATGACGAGACATACGGGCATAGAGGTCGTTTTGATGAAAAGTCTACTATCAGCTACACTATCTGCAAAAGTGACAGATTTACAAGCTAAGTCCTTTTTCAGACAAAGTATCCCGTAGCTTGAGAAGTAGCGATCCATGTTATATCAATGTTTTCCTTTTTATTTACTAAAATATATATAGGACATTCTATTTAAAAAAAATGCATGTTTTGTTGCCACGTAGTTATGAATCCCCTGTATAGATTTGCCTATAATTTGAATAACGATGGTTTTTGAACATCTTTTATATTAACTTCGTTATCAACTATGCCCTCACTAGAAACTCAACTTGTATTTTCATGAGATAAAAATATTTATGCATTCTCAGGCAGCAGCGGTGGCCGCAGTGATATACTCTTGGGTCTCTTGATCAGTCGCCGTGCGCTCGCGGGTTCGAATCCCGTCAAAAGAGAAATTTTTCTCTTGGCTATGGATTTTGTGATTGTCCATAGGTGTTAGAAGGTCTCTGAACGCGGAGGTACCACCCGGCGGATCTCGTAAGCAGGGCCAGAATGTGTGTATGTTGCATGCACACGTGTTCCCTCGCCAGAGTCCGTGTGGCGCCCCCCCCTTTCCCCTGTATCCCCCTATAGGCCCACGGTACCCCATGGGTGTTGTTAAGGCATTCCTGGTAGTTGGAGTATAAAAAAAACATTTTTTCTCTGACTTACTTGTTTCCGCTGAACAGAAATTAAAAATAAATACTGTGATGAAATTAATGATTTACGATTGTCGATATTATTGACCTAAAACTTGCACTCTTGTACTCTGTGAAGAATATCAAATAAATGTTGTTTTACTGGAGATTATCTATGGAGGCATGCATTTTGAAATTTAAGGGTCGTAGATTGGACGGTTCCGTCTGCAGACGCGCTCAAAGTATGAAGATTCGGTCAAAATATGAATTTTGGTAACTTTTCCAATTGAGCCTACTCATGTCATTGGAAAGCATTAGACCCTATAAATTGAGATATGAAAATTCTTTCGTCAGATATTTCAGTTTTGGTTTTTTTCGAAAATTGTGGTTTATCGACTGACAATTCGGATGCCTTCCGAAAAAATAATGACCAAAAATGTTGTAAAGGAGATGAAGCAGCTTAATTGTCTGTATAAATTTTTATAATACGGGAGGGCGGGTCATATCTCACATCGGATTTGTTTTCTGGAGAGAACATATGGTAGCATGATATTCTCTAAATCTCAAACTTTTGGGTGGAATTATGAGTATTAGCCTTTTTGGCAATGTTTCCATTTTCTGGCTATTCCTGTCAGTGGAAAGCATTAGGCTCCACAATATGTGACTATTTCGTAGTAAAATTAACCAAATAATTAAAAAATGCGATTTCATAATTTGTTCGGCAGTTTATATGTACTATATAATTGTCTGTGTAAATGGAATTTCTTTTTTAGTCGCAACATTGGGGCTTTTTCATAATACTGGTCTCATATCGGGATTAAATTTGTTTTCTGAAGAGAACATATGGTGGCATAATGCTCTGTAAAATCTCAGATATTTTAGTCTAAAGTATTTTTCTAATCGAATTTTTTCATTGTTCCATTGGGCTGGCAATTGGAATAGATCTCAAAAAAACAAAAATCCACAATATTAATTTTTTTCGTGAACGAAGTGGATCAACCTAACTCTTTATGAGATACATTTTGCTAGTGCTGATTTTCGAAATTTTTCCATAAAATTTACCATTTTCATCGTGCTAGAGGAGCTATATGGATGTTAATGGAGATTGAGCTAATCAAATATGTTAATTGGCTAAAGAATATAATTAACATTTCTCTCAACCATGAAACTTTGAACGCGTCTCCAGAGCAAACCATCTGACTCAGGATTTTGAGATTTTACAAAGGGTCAGGCTTCTATAGTTTCTCTACGGAAAACAATTGAGCCTAATATGATACATGGCTAGTAACATGAGAATGGCCAATTTTAGTTCAAAATACCGAAAATTGGATCAAAAGGCCCAGCTGACGAATTCAAAGGCCCGAGTACAAAATTCCATTCATATAGGGACAGGCTGATCTCTGCTTTATGAAAATATAATTCTACATTTCCTGTTTCGGAAGGGATTCGAATTGACACCCCAATAAACCAGTACAAAATTCTGTCCAAAGTATCTGGCGAACGAATTATCAAATTGGAGTTTCTTGGACAATTTTACTTCAGAATAGTTAATCGTTGTTCCCATTGTATAAGGGCGAATCTCAAAAACTGCAACTTTTTAGGAGGCGCTTTTAATTGGAGGTATATGGAATGTATTTAAGAACCTTGCGGCTCACACAGCGTAGGTATATCTTATATGCTTCTTACTTCAGTACATTCATCCTTTTGTGATTTTTACGTATTTAACTTTGAATGAGATACGCCTCATTGTTAGATGTTACCCTTCGCTGCATAGCGAACAAAATAGACACAACTCATACATTCAAGTGATATACTTTTGACAACAATGGATGTAAATCACCAGTATTCATCATGTACCTTCTTTGATTTCTCCAAAGTGCTGGATTGCATTTGACATGACATATTACTCAATAAACTCGAAGCATAGCGCTTGAGCACAAGCATCATCAAGCTGATTAAATCATATCTTATTGATAGACAACAATATGTGTTCTTGAATGGAACTACGCCTGCACTAGGCTCTATACTAGAACCCACATTACTTTTAGTTTACATAAACGACATTGAGAACCGCGATCCTCATCCGTTTATTCTATATGCAGATGATACGACCAGAATGACCCAATCAGTTAACATAGATATAGCTCGCTAGGCTATAACGTTAAATTGTACTGCTTGGCAGAGTCATTAAATTTAAACGGTGGTAAAACAACGGAGCTAAACTTTGAACCAAAAATAGCCTTACCCAGATAACTAGTAGTAATAGGGGTGTCAAATTTCTTGGTATCCATCTTGATAGGCAAATGTGATCCAGTATATGAACTGTCAAGAAGATTAAGCAAAATTATTCTTCGAGTAATATAGCCTTCTCCATCAATCCCAATATTAGTCTTATCATATTAGCAAATTTCCCCTAAATAATTGTAAGTTAGGTTTTATTGATGCGAGTTGTTCAAGGGAGGTTTTAAAACATGGACGCATAAAATGGGTACACCAATTTTCGACAACAAATATTGAGAAAACTTGTTTTTTGGGATTCAATTCAAAGAGTTAGCAGGAACGAATAAGCTCTTTAAATAAGATTTTTAGGTATTTATGTGTGTGAAATGTACAATGTTACGACTTAAGTATGGTGTTCATTATTTTGCTCAAGTGAAGTTTCCTCATCCCCTGCAGTGTTTATTACTTTCCATTGCCCCTCTGTCTTTTTTAAATGGACGACATTACGTCTGTATTGCTGGCCAGTTTCGTCGTTTTCTACTTGGACGTCACTACCATTTTTCTTTACCACCGTATGAGGGGTTGAGTTGAAATTTGGTACCAACTTATTTTCCTTTACTGTATTTTTCACGTAAACTTTATCTCCTATTCGGATGTCACCCGCTTTTGCTTTTCTTTTGGCGTCGCTGTATTTCTTGCCCCAAAATTTGTTCATCAAATCATTGTCTCGAGTTTCTTCGTCTACGATAGAACTGTTCAAAGTTGGAATTGCTGGTATTTTGTCTCGGAATTGCCTCCTAAAGAAAAGTTCTGCTGGCGGTTTTCCTGTTGTTGTATGTGGTGTTGCGTTATACATCATTAGGTAATCCAACAGGTCCTGCTTCCAGTCTGTTTTCTGTATTCGACTGATTTTGAGCCTTTTTAAAATGTCTCTATTCTGCCGCTCGACTTGTCCATTCTGGGACTTGCATCGGCTATAACCTGAGTCCTGTCTTTAGGGTCATAGTATCCTAACGATTTAATTTTACACAAGCATTCTTTCAACAGGTTAAAACTGCATTTTTGTTTATCCTTAAAATACTTGGATATATTTGCATGTTTTGCTAATTTTAGTCGCAATAATTTCCTTAGAGGCTCTGTCATAGACGCTAAATTAGCGATCCATTTACCTATATAATTAACAAGTCCTAGAAAACTCTGCAACTCGTCCACAGTTTCCGGGCATCGGAAAGCTTTGATTACCGATATGTATTTATCAAGCGGCTTGATGACTTGTCTTGATAGTTCGTGTCCCAGAAATTTTATGACAGCAATATTGTAAACACATTTATTCTCATTGAGAAGGACATTGTTTTCTTTCAAAATATTGAGTGTAAATTTCAATCTTCTATTATGTTCCAGTTCGTTTTCGCCGTATACGACTATGTCGTCTATAAAATTTACAGTTCCTTCGCAGCGAGTCAGAATGCGTTCCATTATTTTTTGGAAAATTTCTGGGGCACACGAAATACCAAACATTAAACGCTTATATCTGAAAAGACCTTTGCTAGATATAAATGTAGTAATAGGTCTCGATGCTTCGCTAACTTCGATTTGATGGAAAGCATTTTTTACGTCCAGCCTTGAAAAAAGTCTTGCTTTTCTGAAGTTTGGCATCATCTGATCCATTGTTGGTAATGGATGATTTTCTCTTAGTATCGCCATATTTGCTCTTCTCATATCGATACAAAGTCTAACTTCCCCATCTGGTTTTAGAATAGGTACCATAGGTGATACCCATCTGGAAGGGCCATCTACTGGTTCAATTATGTCTGAATTTACCATTTCCTCAATTTTTTTAAGCACTCTGGTTTCCAGGGGGATTGGTATCCTGCGATATGGCTGAATCACTGGTTTTATGCTCTGATCAATGGGAATATCGACTACAACATTTTTAAACTTGGGAAAAGCAGATATGGCAGCAGCGGTGGCCGCAGTAGTAGACTCTTCGGTCTCCTGATCAGTCGCCGTGCGCTGTGCGGGTTCGAGTCCCGTCCCAGGAGAAATTTTTCTCTTGGCTATGGATGTTGTGATTGTCCGTAGGTGGTAGATGGTCTCTGACTGTCGAACGCGGAGGTACCACCCGGCGGAGCCAGAATGTGTGCATGTTGCATGCACACGTGTTCCCTCGCCAGAGTCCGTGTGGCTTCCCCCCCTTTCCCATGTATCCTTCATAGCCCCACGGTACCCAATGGGTGCTTAGGCCTTAGGCGTTCGTGGTAGTTGGAATACAAAAAAAAAAACGTCTGATTGAGCAGAAATTCCAATCCGTAGGACACCTACAGGCTTCGCTGTATCTTTTCCTAAAAGGTTTCTCGTACCATTTTGTACTACGTAAAAAGTCGTCCGAGTTACAAACTCGCTTACCTTAATCTCAGCATCAAAACACCCAAGAATAGTTAACGGTTCTTTGCTAGCATAAGCCATGAGAATTTTCTTGGGTCGTTTTATTTGATTTGACATCGATACCTGCGAATTCTTTAGGTACGTCCATGTTTCGTCATTTAATATGTTACACTTGCTACCAGAATCGATTACCATCTGAACTGGTATTCCTCCAATCATACATAATATGTCACAATCATTGTCAATGTGGAACACATAGTTTGTGTTGTGATCGTCGTCGTCCTTGTCTGGCTCTCTGTATCTTGATTTCTTGACCGTTGTGCTCTTATAGTGTGTTCTTCTTTTCCCCGCCTTAGTTCTGCACTGCTTGCTGACGTGTCCTTTGTAGCCGCATTTCTTGCAAATTTTCTCTCTTCCTGGACAGTTAAAAGAAATGTGGCCTTTTGAGCCACAACGAAAACATGATTTTATCTCTGAGGCTCTAATTTTTTTTTAGTATTATTGTTTATTTGGTTCACTTCAATGCCTGTTTTCTTTTCAGCAAATTCTTCCATTTGTCTTGATACTGCTTCCAATGCATTTGCTTCATCAACAATGTTTTCTAATGAGATGGAGTCTCCAATTGTTAATATTTTCTTCCGAAGGTCAGATGAGCTGCATTTTTCAACGATTTGGTCTATAATGTTTTCTTCGGTGTTGCTAAATACGCATTTCTCTGCCTGATTTCTCAGCCGCACAAGGAATTTTTCGAACTTTTTATCCATCTCCTGTTTTATTAGCCGAAAAACATGTCTTTCGTATACCTTGCTTTGTTTTGGTGCGAAATATTCATCTAGCTTTCTTATAGCTATCTCGTAGACATTCACTGGATTTTCAACGTCTTCGGTTTGTTCAGAAATATGAGCTCCAGGTAGGTTGTAATATATTTCTTGTAACCCTAGCCCACCGATGTGTAGCAAATTTGCTCTCTTCTTAGCGGAGCTGTCGATGTTAGCTGCTTCTAGATACACTTCTAGTGCTCTTTTCCACTTTTGCCATCTGACAGCTACCGAGCAAACTTGTCCATCGCAGTCAAAAGGCTCCAACGAGTTTAATGTTGACATGATGACCTGAAATTAAATGTAATTGCTACTTTTGTGTAAACAAAACTCACATTGTATGCATATACATTTTAGGATCGATGGATCTTATAAGTCAAATTCATTCTTTGTTCATATATGTGTCATATTCAGCAAAGCTACGCAGTGTTATGTATCATATTCATATTCATGCCTTGATGTATCTTATTCATCAAAGTAGCCCAACACATACATATACATTCAACGTTCGATGTGTCCTATTCATCAAGGTCGTTCGTCTTGACTTTGGTGTTTCTTATTCACCAGTTATACAGTGTTATGTATCATATTCATAATCACTGATTTGATGTATCTGATCCATCAAAATTATTCTTTATGCAACCTATGTATCATATTCATGGTTACTTCTTCCATGTATCATATTCATGATAGTTATTCTTTGTTTAGTGCTGTGTCATATTCATAGATTATCAAAACAACTTTTTTTTTTCATCATCATCATCATCATTATCATTATCTTTTCTGCCTTTTCTACGTGTTTTGACACTTAATCTTAAGTACCTTGATCAATACTTTAATTAAGGAGTAAATGTACCCACATACCTTTTGTCCTCGTCGCCAATATAATGTGGTGTAAATAATATTATTATTTACGTTCGTTTCCAGTCACACACACAGATATCTCAATACGACCTTCTACCGGCGGGTGTGCTCGACCGACTGACTCGCTGATAAGACGGCAACTCCGTCTCCGTCGTTCACCCAGCGGGGGAATAGATCTTTTATTCATTCAATATACTACAATTATCTTTCGGAATGGTTTGTGATTCATATCGGCAAGGTCAATTTGTGTATTTTGCTATAAAATGCCATTTGACTGTACCCTGTATATTGCTCAGTAAACTAATAGTGATGGCCGGAAGACATGTGTGTTGGGATAAACAATTAGACATTCTCAAAAACTACTTGACCAATCGACTCCATTTTTGTTGTGATTGTTTATGAATATGAAGCCTACGGATTTGAAGAATTACAAGTAGCTGTGTGAAATTTTAGTCGAATTAGCAACGAGTGCCAAAAGCCTACATTTTGCCTCGGTTTTCGGCCATATCTTTTTCACTATTAGTGGTATATTTTAACGTATGGTCTCGTAAATACCTAAAAATCTTATTTGAAGAGTTCTTTCGTTCCTGCCAACACTTACGACTGGGTCACAAAAAACTCATTCTTTGTTGTAGAATGAAAAGCCTTCCCACAAAAGTTGGTGTACCCATTTTATGCGTCCACGTTTTAAATACCTCCTTGAACAACTCGCATCAATAAAACCAGACTTTACAATTATTTCGTAAACCAAGGGTATTTTCGTCTAATATGATTAGACTATATACAATACCGCGTATCTCCGAATACGCCTTTGTGTTAGGATGATTTTTGACTGAAAATGATATACGTCCTCATAAAATAGCGAATGGAAGATACGCCCTTTTGTCAGATGGTAAGCCCCTAACCGTGGCCTAATTGTTGTGTGTCATATTCTGAAAATGCCTTAATGGGTCCTTAGGCGAGAAGAGTGTATCCCTGTCCAATTCCATCCTTACTTGGTTAGAGAAGTTTAAATTGTAAAAAAGGATCTGGTTAATGGGACGTAGTCCTAGTGCCATAAAAAAAAAATTGTCAGATGGTGAGCCGGAGTTATGTGATGCGAAATCTATCAAAATCTCAATTTAACGAAAAAGTAAGCTACGCCCTTATGCATTGTACGGTCTAATGCTTTACAATGACCGGAGTAGCTAAAAAACGGAAAAGTTGCCAAGATACTACAATTCATATTTTTGCCGAACCTTCAGACTTTGAGTGCATTTGTAGATCGAACCATTCGATCGAAGACCCTGTATAGGTACGAAATTTAAGCCCGATCTGTGGTCTGACACGCCAAGCCAGATCATGGAATTTTAGTTTTGACCAATTGATAATTATCATTTTCTTTTTTGTTCTGAATAGTTTCACTCATAAGGCATGATTCCAGATTCTATGGTCGATTTTCGATTTGTTGAGGAGCCTAGTGACAATAGCTGTGGCTTACTTCAGAGCCGAATTGTGGGACACCTTTTTGAATCTGTTCAGAAATTTCGACGACAGATTGAATAAAAAAGAGCAAAAGATAGTCAAAAAAGATATAATTATTGTAGAAATAATTTTCCATCATGCTCTTTTATTAGGTAATTAAAGTTTTGTATCATATACAACGGCTCAAATTTAAGAAATATATTATTTTCTCAAATATGTACGCTCAAAATTAAGCATGGTATTTGATGTTTTAAATGAGGTTTTCTGATGAAAAAAAAACATTAATAATATATACTTGTAACAAGAACAAGTCAATACGATTTGATTTTCGTTTCGGATACGAATAGAATATTAGATACATTCCATGTCAGACTGTTAATGTCAGCGATGAATGTTACTTTCCTCATGTTTGACAAAACTCTAACATACATGATAGAAATACGGTCATACTCTCAGGATAGGCCGTGGAAAAACTTAAATAACGCCACGCTAGAACTTATTACGTCACATCTTTGGGACGACATTTTGTGTTTTAACATAAGAAGGCAACTTTTTCGATTTCTTGTCCATAAAAAAAAATGAAAGCACTAGGAATATACATTTGTAGATCCTAAAATATTAATATTCCATTGAATCAAAAATAAGTTGGAAAATACCCCATTATCAGTTCTGACGTTGATTGAAATTATAGCTAAATTGTTTTATTACTTCCCATGTCAATGACGAGAAAGTATTCTAATCGCGGAAAATTTAGTCTATTTTTTTGGATGTAAGTTCAATCTTGAATCTAAAAAAGTGATTTTTCTGTGAAATCCGTTATAAGTGGTGGGAGGATTCAAATGTTTCCGTAAAAAACATCCTGTATCTTCGAAACGGATGAGCCGATTTTAACAAGCTTGGGCTAGTTGAGAAGAGCTATATTTGGGCTACAAATGTTGATATATTTGAAGTTTTGTTGGTATTGCATTGGTATTTTTTTTAAGAAAAAGTATCTAAGTGATGTCTAAACAAGCTCGCGAAACCCGCATCTCGATATTTTGTTCCTAACCTAAAATTTTGCACAAAGATGATTTTATACATAAGTCTCTTTAATTTTATTTTTTTAAACTAATTTTTATAGAATTTCTTTTTATTATTAAGTTGTGGCCTTAAAAACCGATTTGAAAAAGAAAGGTCATGGAAACAGACTTACTCTTCCAATCCACCGCTGTTAACATACTGAATTAATATGATCTTGTACAATAATGGCCAAATGGCAACGATCCAACTACAAATAATAAAATATAATAATAATAAATTTAAGTAAATCCCTATATTTTGATGCACATGAGAACCTCAAAATATTTTGAACCGTTGTACGTGATATGCCCAATGGGGATAATGCCGTTGTGCTAACATGACAATTTCTTTCAATATATCCCAGTGTGCGGTTAATATTTTCTCGTGTTCTCCCTATACTTTGCCGTTGAAACGTAGGCCGGAAACTATCATTTTTGCTCGTAAGATCGCCGCTAATCGGAAAGATGCCGATTTGGATATCAAGTCGCGTAAACTTTTTCTGCTACTGCGGCATTCTGAAGAAATTCAAAATAAACTGCAAGCATATCAACAGCTACATCGTTCTTAAATGCATTTGGTAAGCACAAACATTGTTTAAAGTAACGCGAAACTATTGACAACTATTGACAATTTGAGGATTTATTTATGTTTTGATTTGGTAGGTATTTGTTTTGTTGTATTCCATGGCCTGCTTCTGTTAATTGTATTTTTCGTATATACCCATAGTGAAGGGTACTGACTGACGTTACTAGATGTAATGTAACATGTTACACAGCGAGCATTGATGCAGTCAGTACGTAGTGAGCACAGAACGCGATGCAAACATGCTCGATGCGAATTTATATTACACCTCGTAACGTTGGTCAGTACTCAGCTTTAGGTACTTACTTTTAGCGATATTTTGTAATATTTTCAAAAAGGGTGATTTTAATCTAATGAATGAAAATGAATTCCAGAAAAATCAGTTTAAAGAAATAAACATTTAAGATATTTCCGTATGAAATTTTCTTTGCCCTAAATCTTAGGTTAGGAACAAGATATCGAGATGCCGTTTTCACGAGCTTGTTTAGCCATCATTTAGCAACTTTTTCATAAAAAAAATCACGCCAATGCATTTAACTTTTCTGAGAAAATTTACCATTTCTGTCGGAATGCCCTCTAACGGCCACATGTGAAATCAGAAAAACCTCAAATATCATAACATGTGTAGCCCAATAATAGCTCTGTTCTACTAGCCCAAGCTTGTTAAAATTGGCTTAACCGTTTCAAAGATACATGATGTTTTTTAAGAAAACCTTTGAATACCCCCCACCACTTTATTTTTAGAGATACAGCAAAAATTGTCAAACAAACAAAAAAAGTTCGCATTATTCTCGACTTTAAGGCTCAGGTATTTTTTTGTTAGATTAATATAGCGGAATTCACAGAAACTTAAAAATATGTTCAAGGTTTTTCTCTTGGTCGTATTAGTCAGAACTTTTTTTGCCGCAAGCCTCTACGATGGATAGGTTTCCAAATGCAGTACCCCAGTACCTCGCATTCTTAGTTGGCCAGCCTGTACAACAAGAGGAAAACCATGCCTCTCAGTTTCGGCAATCTGTTTGTCTGACGGTCTATCTGTCCGCTAATCCTTGATCCTTGAAAATCATATTTTTTGGATGTTATATGATATCTATATCACGAAAAACCATGTCACCCATTTCCGTCTGTCTGCCTGCCTGTCTGTCCCACTGTCTATCTAGCTCAGGTAGTATCTTCGCTTCTACTCCGAAAAATATTCTAACTCGGACTTTTTTGTATAATCTTATTCGACAAGAACCTCCTAAAATGAATGAATGTATGTTGCCAGGCCCAAAATTGCTTGTATAAGCAATTTTCTTAAAGATTTAAAATTTTTGATCTGGTCCATGTGCTTTTAGTTTTTTTGGCATATTTTCTACAAAAAAGGCGTTTTGAAAGTCCTCTCTAAAATTGACATTTTTCGAGATATAAGCGATTTACTATTTGAAAATGTGCAAAATATGCGAAAAACAATATGAAAGAACGAACATTTTAATGTTGTCAAAGCTTCTAAATACTCTTCAAACGTTCATTAACAAAATATTGAACTATTTTAGTAGCTATTTTTATTAAAAGAGAGTTTTTTAATTGTTAATCAAGCGTGCACGCAATGTATATTCTGAGACACTTCTTGATAATGGAACGTCTTTCCCTGATACCATAGACACAACATTTATAACCCCCTACTCCTTACAACCCTCAATTTTCAAATGCTATAGAAAAATCTGAAAATTATAAGTAACGTCTGAAACGTCACAAAGCGATTAAGTTTGATCGATTGTTACTGTAATGTCCAGCTTCTCGGAGTGTTTTACGGCTCACCAACGCCACAACACCTGTACAATCGTCCTTCGCACAACCGCTCCGTCCGAGTGTCGGTTTTCGACTGCCCAGTGAAGTAGGCGCGTGAGACAACCAAGCAACACTTTATCTAGTCAATACACTACATCCCTTTTTTGTTTTATTTGTTTTTATTGACTACATCTCTCTTAATACTTATACAACGATTTATATACATACATACAGGGTGACTTTGAAGTTGAGTCATTAATTTTCAGATAATGATTGTAGAAGGAAGATAAACCAAAATATGTGTGTAAAAATAAAAAAAAATAAAAAAAAAATTTTTACCTTGTTTTATAAAGTATCCTCCCGACAAGTATTTCAGTGCGGACCTGTATTTGATCGTGAGGTCCCCTGTGAGGTCTTAAGTCACCTGATTCACGAGCCCGTTGTACTACATTAACAAAGGCACGAGGGGTTGGTTGCACTCGATTGGGAAACCGATCCGCATAAACATGTGCCATTTTTTATTTCGTTTGAGCCACGCAACAGACACTATTCACACGCGACTGACACTGACTGTATGTATAACTGAACTGAATAACATAATTGTAAAAAGATCGTTCCAAATTCCTTCGCTTTTTTGTTTCCGATGCGATGAACCGATAAGGCGGATTATATCCGTTGTTGCCAAACACGAGCACATGATGTTATTGAGACAGGGCGTTACTCAAACCTCCAAAGGGCTATAACTTTGTTACTTTAATTTTACCAGAAAAATGGTAAAGGAAAAAAACATTTCTTTTGATCAGATCTACTCACTGTTAAAATAAATGACTCAACTTCGAAGTCACCCTGTATATATAATGGATTTTACATGAATCAAACATAATTAATGGAATTAAAATTTTTATGTAGCTACACTAGGGTTAAGTTCCGACATTCATTTCCTCGTTGTTAATCTCATTTTGATCTTGGCAGACACTCCATTCCCCTTGAACTCTTTTCAAATGTACAACGTTCCTTCTTCGAATTTGACCGGTTTCATTGCTTCTTACCGTGATATCTCCTCCTTTCGTGTTTTCCACTGTGCGTGTTTCTGGATTGTAGTCTAAGCTTAATTTATTTTCTTTATTTACATTTTTTATATACACTTTGTCTCCTGGTATTAAATCACACTCTTCAGCCTTCAGTTTCATGTCTCCCTTTTCTTTTCCTATTTGCTTTCTTTCTTGATCTCTATCCTTAACCTCTGTGTCTTGTGCTGTCCTCTCCATTGTATCGTTTACCATAGGTAATTTATCTCTAAACTTCCTTTTGAAGAAAAGTTCTGATGGGGTTCTTCCCGTAACAGAATGTGGTGTGCTGTTGTACATGGTCAAATAATCCAGCAAACTTTCTTTCCAGTCTTTATTTTCAGCTATACTTATTTTCAGACGTTTAAGTATGTCACGGTTCTGTCGTTCAACCTCTCCATTTTGTTGCGGCCAATATGGTACTGTATTGAAAAGGATGATGTTTCTTTCGGTTAGAAATGACTTAAACTCTTCGCTGATAAATTGCCTTCCATTATCTGCAGTTATTGAAATTGGATTTCCTAATCGACTGAATATTTCTTTAAGTTTGGCTACAATTTCAGTAGAGGTAATTTTACGACAAATCTTCACTTCTTTATACGTACGTATCTGCTGTAATAATCGACTACAACAAATAGATGGTCACCACATGGAAGAGGACCCATCAAATCAATTGCAATATCAATTCAAGACCCTTCTGGCAACTCACGCCGTTTCATAGGGTTTGGTGTACATGGTGCAGATACAAGAGTACATCCTCTACATGCTTTTTCGGCCTCTTTGTCGCATCTAGGCCACCAGACTTTTGTGCGAAGTCTTGCCTTAATTGACACGATACCGGGATGTCCCTCGTGAGCTGCATCCAAAACTCTTTTACGGAGTGCCGAGGGAACTACAATTCTCATTCCTCTCAATAATATACCCTCGGGGAAACAAAGTTCATTTTGAAAGATTTTATACAACTTCACGTCATCGTTCCATATGTTCCGATATAAACCCTCTTTCACATTCCGTATTTCCCTATCGTCCATTGAGCTATCTATTATTTCTTTAAGAGAAACAACACGAGGTCGGGCAAACTCTACAATTTGGCAAATGTGATTGTCCTCTAGTTTTATCAGGGATTTCTCCGCACTTCTGTTTAGTCTAGACAATGAATCTGCGATATTGGTTTTTCCTGGTTGATAAACTATTTTATAGTCGTACGATTGTAAGCGCATAACCCATCTCTCTATCCTCGCACATGGTTTAGATTTAGGACCAAATATTACTTCCAACGGTTTGTGGTCTGTTATGAGTTCAAATCTTTTACCTTAAGGAATATGTGGAAATGTTCCACTGCCCATACAAGAGCTAGCGCTTCTTTTTCTGTCTGGCAATAGCGGCGTTCACAGTCAGTCAAAGTTTTGTGGCCATATGCAATAATCCTAGGCTCACCTTTGGAATTAGTTTGAACTAAAACTCCGCCCAAACCCACAGGACTAGCATCTGCTATGACAATCGTACGATCGCCAACATTATAATACCCTAAGCTAGAAATATTTGACATGATTTCTTTCAACGACTCAAAACATGACTTTTGTTCTGATCCCCAGTTTTCGGTTATGTCTGTTCGATTTCCTGTTTTGTTTCTTAGTAGGATTTTAAGAGGTTCTGTTACCGTGGCATTTGCTCACAAAATTAACGAGACCTAGAAAACTTTGTAGCTCTCCGGTAGTTTTAGGGGCTCTAAATTCTTTTATTGTGGAAATGTACTTTTTTAATGGTCTTACCCCTTCTCCTGACAGCTCATGTCCTAGAAAACTCACTTTTTCCATTCTAAAACAGCATTTGTCATTTCTTATCACTACGTTATTTTCATTTAAAACAGATATTACTTTTTTTAATCGCAAATCATGTTCAAGCGAGTCCTTTCCGTATATCAAAATGTCGTCAATGTAATTTACCACACCTTCACATCCTAAAAGCATGCGTTCTAATGTTTTCTGGAATATTTCTGGGGCACACGATATACCAAACATGAGTCTCTTGTACCTGAATAAGCCTTTACTGGTTATAAAGGTGGTTATGTGTCTTGAAGCCGGATCTATTTCAAGTTGGTGAAATGCGTCTGTAATATCCAATTTTGTAAATACCTTCGCATTTTTCATTTTAGGCAGCAGCTTGTCCATTGTCGGCAATGGGTGATTTTCACGTATAATGGCTTCGTTAGCCCGGCGCATGTCAATACAAAGACGTACTTCTCCATTTTCTTTCAGCACCGGCACAACAGGGGACACCCATTTAGAAGAACCAACTACCGGCTCTATAATATCCCTTTGTTTAAGTTCTTCAATTTTGTTTTCAATTTTTGCCTCTAAAGGTATAGGGATCCTCCCAACATGAAACAGTAAAAATAATACATCAGTAATAACACTAATAACCTTTTAATGAATGATAATTATGACAACGTAATAAAGCAATATGTGTTATGAGGGTAACAATCAACATTTCAGATCGAATAACTATCAATGAACATTACACACATATTTATCAAAATACAATTTAAATCAGTACCTGTAAGGTTGTGATACGGGTGGGATTGAATGATCGATTGGCAAGTGGCACATCTTTAAATTTGGGAAAAATCTGGTAATCTACTTGATTAACTTCTGGATCCAATCCAATTCTCAAAACTCCTAATACTATTGCCGAAGTTTTCCCTAAAAGATTTCTAGTGCCATCGATAACAGCATAGAAAGTTGAGTTTTCGGATCTTAGTCCTACTTTAATCTGAGCCTCGAATGATCCTTTTATCTTCAGTGGTGTAGAGCTACCATAAGCCATAAATGTAACATCGGGATTTGGAAGTTGATTATACACATTAACTTTGTTCTTCTTTAATTTTTCCCAAGTTCTTTCCGTAATCAAATTCTGCTTGCAGCCCGAATCAATCAACATCTTAGTCTGTACTCCTCCAATAGTGCACTTAATTTCCACATCGTCATCAATGTGGAAAACATACTCAGTTTCTCCCTCTTTATGTGCTGTGTTGTTAGAAGAGTCACCCACTTCGTTAACTTCATTCTTCTCCCTGTCAAAACGACCTTTCTTTTGTTCATGTCTATATTCCCTATCCACTCTCCGCTTCAATGTCTGTTTCGTTCGGCAGTATTGTCTGAAATGCCCATTAAGACCACACTTTAGGCATTCTTTGTCCCTTGCTGGGCATCTTGCATCATTCCCAGCATGTCTAGGATTACCACATCTACCGCATCCATGTTGAACATTCCTTGATTTATCAAAGTTCCTTTTAAATTTACTATCCATCCTGTTTACTTCTTGATACTCATTTGATCTAAGTGGGTTTTTGAACTCTTCCAATTGTTTATTAACAACTTCAAGGGTATTTGCTTCGGTGATTGCTTGCTCTAATGTAATGTCATCTCCAATTTTTAGTATCTTTTTCCTCAGTTCAGGTAGGAAACATTTTTCTGTTATCTGGTCAATAATGTTCCCTTCCCTGTCGGCAAACTGGCATTTGTCGGCTTATTTCCTCAATCGCAAGACAAATTTTTAGAATTTTTCAGGTTCTTGTTTAAGGGGCCTGAAAGTGTGTCTCTCGAACACTTTGCTTTGTCTTGGTGCAAAGTACGCATCAAGTTTTGATATCGCTGTTTCAAAAACGTCTACGCCTTCGGCTGGTTCCACGTTGGCCCCAGGAATGTTATAGAATACTTCCTGCAGGTCTAGCCCGCCGAAATGTAGAAGAGAGGTCCTTTTCTTGATGTCTCTGTCAATATTAGCCGCTTCGAGGTAGATGAATAGCGCTCGCTTCCATCGCTCCCATCGTGCACCCACTGAGGTAGATTCCCCGTTACACTCAAACTTTTCTAGTGAAAGGTGTGACATCTTTGGGCGACCTGGAATAATCAATTTAATGATTCAGATATCTATGTATCTGTAGTTAGATTTTATCTTAGATGCTTCCATCTCATATCAATTTAATGATCGGATTATAGTTTTATCCGCATAAATCTACTTAAGCCGTCCATACCGGCAAACGTATAAATTTAATTATCAGATTTTAATCTGCTAATTTAGTACCTACGAACCTCATACAATAATAATTTTATTGTAAGGCTTTTGTTTATGATATCAATTTAATGATCAGTTCGCTTCCAACTGCTTTGAGTAGATACTCCCTTCTATTTATCAGTACCTATTAATCACGACAACATAGTTTTAATCAATTTAGGGAAACAGATCCAATTTAATCTGCGTTAGTTTTGGTACCTACCGATCTAACGGTCACCGGTTGTCTTTAAACCTTGCTATTTTTGTAAACAAATAGGTACATGACTAAAATACAAGCATAATACAACATATTTCTCCCACTACGTAGGTAGGTATTACAAAACATCTTACATTTAATGTACTCGTAGTTTAACCTAGCTGAATTCATAAGTATTCATTTGTTTACTGCACCGTATCGCCATTTTTTCCCATTTGTTTTTGCTCACTAATGTGTACTTACTATTTTCCTCGTCGCCACATGTAATGTCCAGCTTCTCGGAGTGTTTTACGGCTCACCAACGCCACAACACCTGTACAATCGTCCTTCGCACAACCGTTCGAGTGTCGGTTTTCGACTGCCCAGTGAAGTAGGCGCATGAGACAACCAAGCAACACTTTATCTAGTCAATACACTACAGTTACTGTTTTCGTTTTTTGCCCTTAACTTTGCCGTAACTGAATTTTCGATTTTCAAACTACACTATCTTGCTCTTGGTATAGTAGTAACATTGTGTCAAAATGTCATAAAAATCTTAGCCTTGCATTGTTCATCGTTCAAGTTCTTGATTATAATATGAATCAAACAGGTTCTATAAATGTGGATGCCTGTTCTGTGTCCGAACAAGGGTCTTTAAAATAACATAGCAAAACGCTACGAGGTCCTCTATTTCTATAGTTCGGAAATTACTGCTCGGATTCTAATACAATTTTGGCACAAATGTACCGCTATGACAGAACACCTCAATGGAGTCCACCAATAGTGGTACAGGAAAAAAAATTGAGAACGTTAACAATCCTAATATTTTAGCATAAAAGTTCATGGTAGTCAACATTTAAAACATGCAAATAAAAAATTATTAACCTTGTTCTACTTTCTGGTTATTTCAGGCCATAGTAGAAATATAGGTTTGTTTTTTTTCTGAAACCAGGCATGCCTTTCATGGTTGCACATATCTCTAACAATTGAGTAGGCACTGAGAGACAACTTACTTGATTCCTCTTTTTCGCTCAGTTATCACATGATTCTCGAAAAAAGTAAAAATTTCATTGTTTCGCAAAATTATAGGGCTTTAAACAGATAAATTGATTGCGTTCTCAAAAAACGCGCGTGGCTATGCCCAAATATGCTTATTCTCAGACTATTAAAATATAGCACTTTGTGAAAATGTTTATATATATATATATATATATATATATGTGAGAAGTAGTCATTGCCAAAAGCCAACGACTAGTTGGGTACAAAATACAATTACTTGTTAATTGGGAAATTGGCAAAACTTTTAGGCTAAACTTGACTCTTTTGACGAGCTTTCGCCATTCTCTATGGAACCATCATCAGGATTCTGAAAACACAATTGTGATGCTAGCAAAGAAGACAGATTTAAAATGTCAGACAACTTACTCGTCGGTGAGGTTGCAGTCACAAGGTGTTTCAGAAAGAACGTAGAGAAGATCGAACTTGTGTTCAGTATAAAAACAAAAGGACGGGGACATTGGGCTTGTTAAAAAACGACAGATACCTTCGTTAAAAGTTAAGAAAAATAAAAATTATATCAATAAACCCGATCAAGCTAAAAATACTGCACGTGGGGAGACATTTTGTTGAAACAATCGGAATGCAGTCCCTAACCTTCTACTACCGCTATACGTGGAGAGGGGGAAAGGCACGGAACGGTAAAGCGTCGACAGAAGACAAGTGATTGACGCGACGGAACGTGGAAATGTGCACCTCCCTGTCCAACTTTGGGTATGAAGTATACGAGGGACGCTCAGTAAATCTCCACCCAAAATTACTAAAATGATGGAATAACTTGTTTTGTAAAAGAGTGTGTGGTTCATCTGAGTGCAAGAATGTGTGATATTGATACAACCTTGAAAAGATGGGTTATGTGAGGGAGAAAATGTATTCTAATTTTGTGAAGATGTTGGATCAATTTGGACATGTAGCCGTTCTAGCTTTTCGCAATTCAACAGGTAGGAATAAATGACACTGAGCTGCTTAACATCAGCCTTTTTATTCATGCAATGATCTGTCATGAAAATGTGGGACATTTCTAAAAATAGACGTTTTGAGAGTCTTTTTTCTTTATCAAGAACCTCAACACTGCCATAATTCATAGAGTGACCTGTGTTGTTGATATGCGACGCCAAAGCACATCTTTCTGGATGTAATCTGGCATCACTTTTGTGTGACGTTATCCTGCCTTTCAGCGACCTAGAAGTTTGGCCTATATAAACTAAATTGCAGTTGTTTCAATTAATACGATAGACAGTATTGGTTGAATCAAGCAACTGAACCTTATCTTTCATTTTGGACAACAAACTGTTGACTGTGAGAACTGATTTACAAGCAAAACGACAATTAAAGGGATTATACAGCATGATCAATTTTGGTGTTAGTCCTTTGATGTAAGGCAAGACAACATAGTTAACTCTGGAAGTAGGAGCAACAACTGTAGTGCTGTTGTTCTCATTAGTTGAAGAAATAATGGGTATCTGGTTTGATTGACCCATGTTGTCATTTTCATTATTGTTATTAGTGATTGGCAAAATATTCGGAGGAGAGCTGAACAAGATTCTGTCAACCAAATACTTAGGATAGCCATTTTTGATAAATAAGACTGAAAGCTTCCGTAAATTGGAAAGATGGAAAGTACTGTCAGAGATTTTTATAACCCTGTTCTTCATTTGTTTTTTAGCTTTTTCGGGTTTATTGATATAATTTTTATTTCTCTTAACTTTTAACGAAGGTATCTGTCGTTTTTTAACAAGCCCAATGTCCCCGTCCTTTTGTTTTTATACTGAACACAAGTTCGATCTTCTCTACGTTCTTTCTGAAACACCTTGTGGCTGCAACCTCACCGACGAGTAAGTTGTCTGACATTTTAAATCTGTCTTCTTTGCTAGCATCACAATTGTGTCTTCAGAATCCTGATGATGGCTCCATAGAGAATGCAGAAAGCTTGATTTTATCGTCAAAAGAGTCAACTTTAGCCTAAAAGTTTTGCCAATTTCACAATTAACAAGTAATTGTATTATATATATATATATATATATCGTTGTTAACACAAGAAAACCACGTAACTCCACCTTATGTGGCGTTTAAAATAGGAAAAATACGTAACTCCTAATTTTACCTATTTTCCATTTTTATTTTGAAAATATCAGCTTTCGTTAAGTATCATTCAGAAACTGCTTAATTAAACTATAATATTGTATTTATCACAATAATGCTATTATTTCTAAAACAATATAATGCATAACTCAATCTGTTTTTACGCTTTCCTCTAAAATTCTTAGAAACGGAGTTACGATTTTTTCTTGTATCATCGACGATATATATTATTGACAATTCCGACCAAGTGACGAGATGATTACAAAGTGAGCACATCTCAATATGCATTATACATATACAGGGTTATCCAAATTAAGCGTCCACCATTAGTAACTTTGTTATTAGTGAAAATACAAAGTTGTTTGAATTAGCAAACTAGTAGCATTTTTAACGCTGGTAAAAATGAGAAATAAAAAAAAACAATTGAGAGTCGTTATTTTGATTTTTTTCAGTAAAATAACATTTTTTTAAATGGAAACCCCTGTATATTATATTTTTTTCTGTTAAAGCATCAAATTTTAAACAAAAAAGTTCATAATGAGTTTTCCGCTAAAGTCAAAAATAAAGTCAAAATAACGATAAATATTTTTAATTATTTGCAGTATTATAATATTAAGACGGATATGAAAACAACATGGCGTTTGCGATTTGACAGCATTAAGATAAGCGACAAATTGTTAAACTGGACATACTCGCAACTAGAAGGCTTTGGAAAACAATGATAAAATCAAATAATGTCAAACATTAGTGTGATATGTTAGAATGCTATTTAGTGTGCAGAAAATCCTCCTTGAGAGCAAGAGAATACTACAGTGAATTATATCCCGCTCGCATTCAACCGTATGAACGATATTTTCTGAGACTTTATCGAAAATTTAGGGGCAACGAAAATGTTTTTGCTAAAACAAGGGCAAAAAAAGAATTCATAATAAGCGAGGCCACGGAAATTGCAGTTATTGGATATTTTGAAGCTTATCGTGAGAATTCAATAGCAGATATTCTCAAGGACTCTAATTTCAGTTATGGTACTGTTCAAAGGATTTTAAAAAAATACAAATTTATTCCGTATAAGTACCGACCAGTTCAAACGCTTTTGGCAGGGGATCCAGAGAGAAGACTTGTTTTTTGCCATTGGTATCTTAGCTTCTGTCGCCAAAATGTAAATAACTTTCGTTACCTTTTATGGACAGATGAATCAAATTTTTCAAATTCTGGAATGTTTTATAGAAAAAACCAGCATTATTGGTCAAGAGAAAATCTTTTGTTAGTACATCCAAGAGGCCCACAAGTCCGTTTCAGTTTCAACGTTTGGTGCGGTATAATTGGTTCAAAAATTGTTGGCCCGTTCTTTTATGAGGGAACCCTAACTGGTGAAAGATATGTGGAATTTATGTCAGAAATTCTGACTAATTTCTTAGACGAATTGGATCTTATAAGTAGACATCATCTGCATTTTCAGCAAGATGGCGCACCTGCCCACAACTCCAGAGGTACTTATCATTTTCTAAGTACTACTTTTAATGATCAGTGGATAGGAACAAATGGCCCAATAGAGTGGCTTCCCAGATCACCAGATCTAAACCCACTTGATTACTTTTTGTGGGGTTACTTAAAGAACCAAATTTACAAGCGAAGGTACGATAACCTTGACGCGTTAAAGACTGCAGTTAGGGAAAAGATAACCCAGATAGATGGTAGGACCATACTTAAGACAGTTCGAGCAGTTGGAAAACGTGCCCAAAAATGTATTGAAGCACAAGGTGGTGTTTTCGAGCATCTTCTTTAAAAAAAATTGTTATTGTATTTTGTAAGATTATAAGTTCATGTTGAAAATAAAGTTTGTCGATACAATTTAATTGTTTCAGATTGGAGGCCATAACTTCAACAATTTGTAACCTAGGAGAAAAGTTATTGTAAGCTTTTTTGTTTAAAATTTGATGCTTTAACAGAAAAAAATATAATATACAGGGGTTTCCATTTAAAAAAATGTTATTTTACTGAAAAAAATCAAAATAACGACTCTCAATTGTTTTTTTTATTTCTCATTTTTACCAGCGTTAAAAATGCTACTAGTTTGCTAATTCAAACAACTTTGTATTTTCACTAATAACAAAGTTACTAATGGTGGACACTTAATTTGGATAACCCTGTATATGTAGTCCTGCTGATGTCTTATGTCTCATGCAGTGTACAAATTACTCTACTTTCGCCGGTAGCGAGTCGATCCTTTAATTAAATTATTCGCTTATTTCCAACAAGCAAGTTCTGACTATCAGAGGCTATGAATTAGTCATCGATATAAATTTACGATATACTGCGAGCTGCTCTGATCTGGTCTACTATTAATGACTGTCTGGGACTATCGGACATGCTGTATACGTTGCCGATCGCTTAGCTGCCGGCGGCTGAAAATTGCACTGCTACTTGAGTGTAGCTTCTGGTTTGAATATTCTGTGTTGATGGCTTCAGAAGTTACGTTTTTCGTGATAAGAATGAGTAAATATTAAATTTATTGGGTAAAGTCATATAAGGTGCCTGCGGCGAATAAGGCCCGGGGGGTAATAAGGCCAACATTCAAAAACTCCTCTAAAATACTTCTATCCCGGTTCAAACTGGACTCGCACTTGAGTAAGACCGATAGGTACACGGCGACGTTAGCATGCGGACGACACGCGGCGCCAATTTCGCCAGTAGCCAACGATTTGTGACAAGAGTGCGCTACACCACTCCGATTTATAATTATTAGTGATGAAGAAATGTGAGTATTCTTATTCATTTGTTATTAAGCGATAACGTAGCGTAATTTTATTAAACATCAGATGCAATAGTATATAATTTCTATGGTTTTAATCGAAAATAAGAGCTCTTTTTGTTGTGAATTGATGGTTTTATAAAAACAATGCTAAGCGGCCAATAAGGCCCACTGAAATGCGCTTTATTACTCTACCTTTCTTATACAACTCAACATATTTTTTCTACTTACAGATTGGACAGATATGCCTCCGCGATGAGCTCAGAGGACGCAAGAAAACTTACGTTCTGCTATGGAATCTGTAGAACGAGGGCAGTTGACGCAGCGTGGTGCAGCAGACCTATATAACATACCTAGACGTACGCTGAGGAACCACTTAAAAAGTGGAAGTATAATAAGACGTCTAGGATGCTCTTCTATTATGAATGAAGCTCAAGAACGCGATCTTGTCAACAGAATCATAAGATTCGCGAGTATTGGGATGCCACTTACTCCTAAGATTATTCGTAGACAAGCATTCATCTTTTGCGAAAAATATGAACTTAAACATAATTTTAACAAAAATGTTGGCCTTGCTGGCAAAGACTGGCTAAATATGTTTTTGAAGCGACATCCAGAAATTTCAAAACGGAAGGCACATGGTTCATGAATCCAGCCAGGGCGCAAAAGGTGAACAGACCAGTCGTAAGTCACCACTTTGAAGAAGTTAAGAAATTATATGACGAACTTGATATAGCAACGGGCAAAAGGGATGCCAGTTGACTGTTCATAATCAACAGACTGTTTTATTACAAAAAGGAGCTCGACGAGTTCATCTAATTGTGCCAGAGCATGCTCAAAATGTAACGATCGCTGTGTGTGTCAATGCTGTCGGGACCGCTATTCCGCCAATGATATTTAAAGGGCAGAGGCAGAAACCTGAATTTAGTGACAATTTACCAGCCGGCAGTTTCGTAAAAATGTCACCGAAAGGAAGTATGACAACAGAATTATTTGTTGAGTTCATCAAACATTTGGCAAAATATAAGGTTCAAGGGGAAATTTTATTAATCTTCGATGGAGCGACATCCCATTTAGATTATACGATTGCTGAGGAAGCAGACTGTCATGACATAGTCCTATATTGCCTCCAAAGTAACACAACTCATGAGCTACAGTCCCTCGATAAATCCGTTAATAACTCCATGTACCAAAATCCGGAAAGACGGATAACGAAAACCAGTTTTGATGCAATTTTCACAAGGGTCTGGTCACAATGTTTGACCCATGAAAATATAGTAAACGGTTTTCGGGCTACAGGCCTATACCCTTTCAATCCGGACATATTACCTGACGACGCATATATTCCATCTATCTTATCTGAGCTACCGCCACCAACAGAACCCAGTGCTGCAGTCGGCTCCGATATAGAACAGCCTCAGAACAATGGCGATTCTCCATTTCTTTTAGAGCAAGCTCCACATTCACCTGAAAGAAGTTCTGCCCAAAGCGCCACAGATCCGCATGCCTTGACGGTTAATACTAATCAACAACGTAAAGACATCATCCAGTCATCTGAAAAGATCTTGAGCAATGTAGAAACAACACCTAAGAAGGTACAGATCATTAGTAGAAACGTTGTCACTCTGTTGCAGTCACCACAACCTTCCACTTCAAGACATCACAGGTCTCGTATATATTGTCGTCATGTGATTTATAGTTCAGAATCCGAGACAGATACTGAAACGACTATTGTACAGCAGAGAACAAAACTGGCATCAAACAAATCACCACTGCCCATGGATAATGTATATTATTCTAAAGGAAAAATCGAAGACAGCGATAGTTTCAGTTCTGATGACAACATACCTCAAAGCTAAGAAATTTAAGTCTCCTTTTCAAGAGCTATTCCCAACTCCGAACTATGCTGTAACAAAAAATAAGCCTAGGAGAAAAGCTATTAATTATAAAGGCCAACGAATTACCAAAGACCTATTCAAAGAACGAGAAGCATTGAATGGAAACGAGAAGACAAAGAAAACAACACTGAAAAATTACAAAAAAAAAATCGAAGAAACAGGAAGAAAACTAAAGATGGAAACCATCAACGATCTCATAGTGATGAAAGAAAAAGAAGCAAAGTTCCGTCAGAAGAATCTTGGTTTTGCTGTGCTTGCAAGGAAAATCGTGTGTCGGATATGAGGCAGTGTGTGAAATGTCACATATCGTACCACGAAGAATACGTAGGGTTGACCAAGAATGATAAGGAATTGTTTTATTGTCAAAACTGTGATGAATAAGTATCGTTATCATTAGGTAAACTATATTGATGGACTATTTATTGGTATTCAATCGAACCTCTTAGTCGTTCAAGTACAATATTTCTAAACGAATCTAGTTCCAAAGTTCCCAATACAAAGTCTGATTTAGGATATGTCATTTAAGCCTTAACATAACAAATCTTGTAATAACTTAAAAAGCGTTATTGTTATTATCTCTTAATTTTTTGTAATAAATGTTATTTGTTGATTTTAGCTGCTGAAAATGCCAAAAACTTTGTGTTTTGTTGATAATTTCATAAAAAAGAAATATTTTATTTTCGGGCCTTAAATTACTGTGGTAGTTTAATAAGGCCCATGGCAAGAGTTTTTAAGAATTGTTATGTTTATTTCCATGCTGATTTCTGTGTTACTATTTATCTTTTATTCTTACCTTAAATAAAAAAGCTTTCTACTGAACTACGTTTTTTCAATTTTTTTGATATAATTCCTGAGTTTTTTAGCTCTAAAGCTAGGTGGGCCTTATTCACCTCAGGCACCTTAATCACACTATTATATTTCCAGGCATATTCATATACGACAGCATGATGGAATTATCCAAGGGCAAGGACCAGTTGTTCTTCGTCAAGTACATCGGTTACTACCATTGCTTCTTATCAATCCTGGTAGAACTACATTTTGCATCTGCTTTGAGGAAGAGGTATAAAAAAATCAACATGTTACTTTTAAAGACGACGGATTTGCAGAACATCTTAAACAACTTCATAGCTCATTATGGTACTACCGGAGTTGACAACTTAAGAAGCATTAAGGAAGTGACTGATTACTATCTCTTACTGTCAGAATTGGTGGACATATTCAATAAGTTATTTGGGTGGCAAATATTTCTTCTGACTGAAAGCACCATAATCCAAATACTTTTAGTATTAAATACTGTCATGCTGAGCTTAGACTCTTCTCAACATAGTCTTGATGCCTTGCATGACCTTGGTGATTTGTTTTTCGTGGTCGCAGGCGCTGCCTGTCTCATTGTAAGTACCAACGGTATATATGAACACTATATCAGGTGTAACGTAAGTAACGGAACGGCTCTGTAGTTTTCCAAGTAAGGTATTATCAAAAAGAAAGAGGAAGCTCAGGTAATTAATAACTTCGAACAAGGAGTTCATGGATAAATTGGATTTTACCTTGGGTCTTATTACCTTTAAGTTTATTCCAAAGTCAACTTTTGTTGCTTAACATTACCTCTAAGGCTCAAATAAGGGTCAGATGTATGAGCTATGGGACATTCCTAGAAGTCCAGCTGGATTACTGATGAAAAAAATTGTTAAGGAATTGACTTTAGTAAGGATTTAGTGGTGATCTTGGACTCAACCTTGAGCCTCACCTCCAAAGTCGATTGACGGCAAAATTTTGTGTAACAGAAAATCCACATCTTTGACCCTGGCAATTCAAAACTTCACATTCTAATACAGTCTCATGTGCTACAATGACCTTGGAGGTGAGGCTCAAGTTCAAATACAAGGATATTATTGAAATTCTTGTTAAACGTTTCTAAAGGATCACCAATAATCCTGCAAAACTTCTAGGCTCTTTCTCTAACCGCACATATTTGACCCTCTTTTTTATCTTAGACTTCAATACATATTTGGAGATTTTCCGTTTTTTCGATTATCGGTGTCATTTCTATTTTTGAAAAAATGGCGTCTAGTAGGTTGACTCTGCACTTCCTGCGTAACACTGACATCATTTTATAAATGATCATTCACGTCACACGTTGACTTCTCTTTGTCTACTAGCGGTTTGCCTCGCCCTCGCATGATTAATTGCCGTATTATGCTGTTGGATCACGCGTCTAGGTTAGATTGAAATGTGACTCATGTATGATCTGCTTGGATTATTTTTTATGTATTTCTTTTATGAACTTGAAAATATTTAAGAATAGACATATGAGCATTCATACTTCTTTGCATACAACGTTGAGGTTGCTGGAGTATGTGTTAAATCGAGCATATTATGTTTAGATTTCGTATACCCACAAGATTAAATAAAAAACACAAAAACCCCTTCGGCGGGGGATCGAACGCCCATCTACCACGTATCAAGCAGCCACTGTAACAACTTGGCTACTAACGGGTTGCTTATACAGGGTGCGGCAGAGAGGATGGACGGTTTTAAAAAAATCATAAAATAGTTAATTTATACTCGAAAACAAATTTATTGATGGAATCAGGTTCACAAGGAAATAGCATTTGAGACAGTCAAATGTGGAAAATCACATCAGGCATGTGGTGGCCGAAATCGTTGATGCAGTGCTGGAGGCGTTCTTGGAAGTTCGCGTAGACCGTAGACTCTCTCCGACATCGCTCTCTCAACTTGGGCGACTTCAACGCGAATTTCGCCCTTCAATTCGTCCAGAGTTCGGGGCTTGTTCGCGTATACTCTAGCCTTGAGGTGTCCCCATAAGAAAAAATCGCATATGGATAAATCTGGGGACCGAGGAGGCCAATGAACATCGCCAAACCTGGAAATAAGGCGACCAGGGAAGAGAGGGTGAATAACGTCCATGGATGCTCGGGCTGTGTGGGCGGTCGCCCCATCCTGCTGGAACCCCACACGACGGATTGGAGCACGTCGCCGTCGTAATTCAGCGAGAAAGAAGTTGGTGATCATGTCGACGTAGCGCTCCGAGTTCACGGTAACATCACGACCATTACCGTCTTCGAAGAAGGAAGGGCCAATGATGCAAGTTTGCGATTTAGCGCACCAAACCGTTACTTTTGGGCTGTGCAGCGGTCTTTCGTGTAACTGTTGCGGATTTTCATTAGCCCAATAACGACAATTCTGCTGGTTAACCATGCTGTTTAGGTGTAAGTGGGCTTCGTCACTCATAGGCGAAAACGCGGTGCTCCACCGTCCAAGGCTCCATAACGACAACTGGTAAAATAATGCTAGGATCTCACGAGTCAAACGGCACCCTCCCCACCTCTCTCGTAGACGGAGGCGGAGAGTACTACCCATCCCAAAAACGTCCGTCCTCTCTGCCGCACCCTGTATTTTGCCCAAGCGATCTATACATATAATTCAGTGTTTACTTAAACGTGATTTACTAATTTGAAGGAAACAGTTAGGCATAATATACTTTTGTTAATGACCATGTACTTTATTTTATGTAACATCTTTTGCAACGTACGAAAATAATTACTTTTTATAGGCAAATTTTTGCTACCTTTGGTCTCAATTCCGCCATGTTTCAGTCTAGTCAATTTATGGTTTACAAGACTCTACACCTCAACCTTTCTCATGAATTCCTCTGCTAATTGGTGAAGACCGTACTAACATTCGTTGAGTCGTTTCTGAGTTTAGAGAGACGCGGATGTCGAAAAACGAAGGCTCGTCCGTAGCTCCGCCGCTACTGGACTCATTTTTGAAAATTAGCTTTTCTTCCGTGGCATAGTAGTAACCTTGTGTGAAAATTTTATCAAAATCCGATAGGTACTTCCCAAGTTATACAGGGGTCGAAAATTAGTGAAGCGACAGACATACCGATGGCAATAAGTAGCATGGTCTTTCGTTATATGTATAACACGCAAGAAACATAATATCTCATTTTCGTTTTTTTGCGATTACAATACGCAGTGGCATAGGAAGTAACAAAAGTTGACCTTGAAATAACATTACAGGTGAGGCTCAAGGTCATATCCAAGGTCACCACTGACTCCTTATTCAAAGTTAGCGAGCATTTTGACCTTGTTCAAATGTACACCTTGCCATATATATCTGTGTCTCAGAAGTAAACAGTCTTAATCGTAAAGATCAAATAAAATTAGCATAACACGCAAACATTTCAGCACAGTTTAAGTGTACCTATTATGTTTTCAAAATTAAGCATATCAACAACCAAGAATCTGTCGCTTACAAATTACTTTGGTGATTTCGATGAAACTGTGTGAATCGACGATTGACAATAAGCGGTTTAATCTGTATTGGTAAATCAGACAAAATTATCCCGGTGGCGGAAAGATACGTCGGAATACAGCTGGATCGCCCTAGATTTATTAATAAGGAGACGAGAAAAACATCAAACTCTACAGGTTTTGATTGATACTATACATATGCTGGAATATGTCTGACTACATCAGGTTAAAATTTACAACTTCCAGTTTATTTCTGTTTCGCATTTGGTTGATTTTTATACCTCCATACTCTGAAATTTATTATCAGTCAAGCGAATTTTTGTTAGCCTTAATGTCCCCTGATAATACCCACAAAGAAACGAGTGGTGTGCTCAGTTAACATTCGAAATACTCGGTTAAAACTGGTTTCATGTACCTATAATCGTTCATTACCCTATTTCACCTACTATAATACAGACTGAGTTCTTTAATGTCTGCCGTCGATTCACAGTTTGATAGAAATCACTCCATTAATATAAGAGAAATTAATATGATCAAGAAATGAAGAAATGAGCTTGAACACCCTGTATCTCAGTAAGAAAGTTATACAATACATAAATTGACATGAACTTTCTTGTTCGGATTAATAATATCTGTCAGATAAACTTGAATAACCGTATAAAGAAATTAAATATAACTGAAAATCAAAAGCGCACACAACTTTTTAATATACAGCACATACTATTTTAAACACATTCCACTGAAAATCTTGAATGTATATTAAGCTTCCCTAGGTTCCGAGGTATAAACCTGGGAGCGCTCCAATACAATGGCAACTTAAAATATATTAATGGCAATATTAACTCAAAATCAGATCAAACTGAATTTACAACTGTTTACCTCTGAGCTACAGATAGACAATTTTATTCATCGCCAATTTCATTTTTACATGTATGTAGGTAACACATTTTGCTATGTTACCATATTCATGGGATGGTGAAAACGACTTTTTGAGCTTTTGCGGCAAATATAAAACCATTTTTGATATATTTTGTACTAAGAGAGGGGAATCATTATTTTTCTGAATAGCTCACACGTGTCTGGCGCAAATTGAAATACAACAAAGACTTATTGTTGATGTGTTTAACCCCGCTGTTTACTGATTTAATGATACAATTGACACCCTTCATGAGCTTCATTATGCACCAAAAGTACATAGATTGTTTCACAACCGGCAATCAGATGGATTTTGGAACCAGCATATTTCTCCTACTTTTCTACAGTAAGCGCAAATTAGATGTCACGTGCCTCTGAGTACATTAACGACTCTACGTTTAAGAACAAACATATTTTACATTCCAATTTTTTTGTGTTCATTAATGAAAAAAGATGCGTGTTTTGAGACATTTTTTGTTAACACCATCTTTTTAGCTCGATTGCTTCAGGGAAGGGGAAGGGTCGTCATTTCAGAAAAAATAGAATATCTTCTGCTTGAATTAATCGATTTTCATGGTCTCGATTTCTTTATAATGGGCTTAAATATTTTCTGAATCATTTTTGATCCGTTAGTGGTGCTCAATGACACAATCGCCGTTACGTGGATTTTTTTGAAATCTCCAAATTAATCGTACTATAATTTTTAATTACGAAGAAACTGCATGAAGAATTCTACAAACTAGTAAATATTGCATGTCATAGTCTTCATTCGTTATGTGTTGTTGAGGCTTTTCAATAAGTTATGCCTTAAGTCATTTCCACGCTTTAAGCATTGCCGCTCGAGGGCGGAATTTTAACCGATCTATTTTTGCGGCAATTCTACTAAGTCGCATATGTTCGGAATAGATTGACTCCAATGCCTAAATAATTCAAAAATAACAGAAACAAAAGAATTACTTAGATGAGAACCATTGGTTTGTAATTGAGTCAAAACAAAAATTCCTCTTCTGGCTTGTCGGGTCATATCTCAGATCGGCCTGGAAAATATCTATGAATGAGGCTTTGTGAAATTTCCTCCAACTTCTTCACTAAAGGAATTAAACCATAAAAAAATCTATAATATCTTTTGACTGAAACATCTGCCGATCAAATGATCATATTGCAATTTGACTCCTTGGATATCTTTACTTCGGAATAGTTATATATTATGAGGCCTAATGCTTTCCAATAATAGGAGTACCGAGAAAATAGAAAACTTGCCAGAACGTTAAAACTCACATTTTTGCCGAACCTTCAAAGTTTGGGCGCGGCTCCAGACTGAATCGTTCGACCTGGGACCCTGAAATTTCACAAAACATGAGCTCCATAGCTACTCTCAAGGGAAGAAAATTGAGCCTGATCTGAGACATAACCCATCAAACCAGGTCGTGGAATTATAGTTTTGACCCAATTATAGGTGTGCCATCGTGAAGCGGCACCTTGGAATTAACTCATGAATAAATGTGAATAGTTTGGACATTTTCAATATTGTAACTTGTCCTTTTTCTTTATACTCGAACCACTACGAAGGCTTAAGGCCTAAACACCCATATGTACCGAGGGGCTATAGGGGGATACAGCGAAACACGGGAGAACACACGGACTCTAGCAAGGGAACACGTGTACATTCAACACATTCTGAGCCCGCCTTAGAGATCCGCCGGGTGGTACCTCCGCGTTCCACAGTAAAAAAAATTCGCTTGGGGCGGGGATCGAGCCCAGGAGACCCATAACCTCTACTACTACGCCACCACTGTTGCCTGTTGTTTCCTATTTGAATAACTTGGCACTAGACATTGTTAAGTGTGTTATCCAAGAGGCTGCATCCAAATTCTAATAATCTTGGCATTGTTAACTGCCAATTTTATACTAAAGTATAGTTCACAAATTTCATCATCCCGAATTTCAGGTTGGTAACTTTACGCGTTCAAAAAATAAGTAGGGGGATATTACATCTCAAATATTTTGCAAAAGGAATGGAAACAAATATCTTTGTCGAGGCAAATCATGTAAAATCAAATATCATATCTAAAAATGAGACAGATGTTCCAGTAATGCAGATAATATGTTTCATTTGTCTTCTGTCAGGGTGCAAATTTAAATTCCACTGGTATAGTTAAAGCCGTAGTTTTTTTTATATTATGTTGCGTAGTTGTTTTTAGTATCTTACATATAAACATTCAATTCGATACCTTTATTTACTTCAGAGATACATTTTTTCGATTTTAAAATGTACCCTGTATCACGTTTCAAGAACCATGTTCACATGAACTTTTCATGCTATTTTTGCTCCTTCATTCAGACCTCGGAATATTGTGACTACTTTTTAGCTCACCATGTACATATATGTGTATATTCAGTAACTAAGCGTTGGAAGTACATAGTATTATTTATATTATTTTGAAATCCTTGGTTTTCAGTTCTTTCAAGTTATGGTGATATTATACTGCGAAGATGTAAACAAAGAGTCTAGAAACACGTTGAAGATTTGTTACAACTTACAAGAAAGTGTTCAAATGAATTCTGAAGAAAAGAAGGAACTGGCAATTTTATGCGACGTAGTGGGATTACTGAAAACAAGAACTACAGCGTCCGGGTTCTATACCATAAATAAGAATGTTATAAGCAGAGTATTTGCATACATATTTTCGTACTCAATTGTTTTGATTCAGTTCAGTAGGCAGTCTCTCACAGATCAGTCTGCATCATCTAATGAGACAAACTTGTAATAATTTCAAAGTTGTATATATGTAATATCTTTTGTTAACGAATGTAGAATAAAACTTCAATTGTGAATTGAAAAAAACATGAAGTCGATGCTATCCTGTATTTTTAGTCAATATTCAAAGAGTGTTGGGTTAAATTTATATGTCAAACAAATAGACAGAGTGATTCAAAACACCATGCCAAAAAGTATGGTGAAGCCTATACCCATGTCCAAGTCATAGTGACATCGAAATTTGATGATAACTCGTAACTGACGTGATTGTTTCAAACATCCACGTCGTAATAACGTCTACTAAATGTCCAATTATGTACGTGTACTGTAAAACGTTGTTATGACGTGTTTCAGAGTTTTTTTGAATTATATAGATTATATATGTATATATATATATATAACAAATAGAATAAATATAAATATTTTTCTATTTGTTATATACCTTTAACCGCATGATCCTGTTCTTTTATTTTTGTACTTATATAATATGTATATTTTTGCGGATTTTGCCCATTATTTTCCTACTTTTTGTTGTATACCTTTCTCCGCATGATCATTTTTATATATATTTTCATATGTGCAATGTTTTTGCTAACTTGGAATCAATCTTTCCTATTCAAAATGCATCAAGTCAACGGACAGAGAAATAATTATTTCACTCTATCCCTGATCGACGTTCACTCAAAGCAACTCAAAGTTATCTGGAACAAATTATTAAGTTACCCTATAATGTTCCCTTTCCTTTCTTTATTTGTAGCGTTCCGATATATAATATTCAATGATTTTTAAGAATAAGGGGGAGTGCAAAATGAATAAAAAATCATCTTATTGGATACAATACTTTTAGATAGGATATACAAAACAAAAAATACATATCACATTTTAGCTAGTCGATATGTTATATATCATGGAAAATGTCTCTACGTTTAATCTGACAACTTGTATCGAGTGACAACTAACGGTGAATGACAATCGCGATTCTACTACTACTCGTCGTTGCTTCTCAAGGCGGTACGGAGGACCTTAGCCTTTAGGTCATAGTCACTGTAATGTCACTGTCTGTCGTCAGTTTGTCAGGTCTGGTGGCCCAGAAACTAGACAAGTTGTAGGGGAAAGGGAAGAGGGAGAAAGAAAGGAAGGAAGTAGGAGTGAGAAGAGAGCGAAAAGGAATTATTTCATGTAAATATTTGAGGTGTGATAGACCTAAGAACTGTTACATTGTACTATATACATTTTCGGCTTGTCCTGAACTGAATTTTGGATCTTTGGTTTTTAAAAACTATAATTTTTAAAGGTCTAAACATGAATTTAATTTTGGTCACAGTGCGAGTCGCGGCCTGGAATGTTTGCGTATCTCCTCGACTGTGTAATCCACTGCTTCACGCAACAAAGGGTTGCTGTGCGATTCCGCTTGCTGGTAGCGCCGTTGTGCCATACCTATGATGTACGAGTAATCCCTAAGGTAGGGGATGTCAAGATCTCTATGGATGGTATCGTTTGATACATACCATGGGGCATTAGTTATTGTTCTGAGAGTTATACTCTGCAGAACTTGTACTTTACGCATATGCGACTTGGCTAAAAAGCACCAAGCCGCACATGCGTAGGTTATTGCAGGTCTGATGATGGTTTTTTATATTCGAATCTTATTGACCAAACACAATTTTCATGTTCTACATAAAAGCGGATACAATTGCCGAAATGTAATTTGGAATTTAATTTTCAGTTGTTCAATGTGTGACTGCCAATTCATACCCTTGTCGAGTGTAAGACCTAAGTATTTAGCTTTGTTAGGCCATGGTATCGAAACATCATCCACATTAATCTCTGACGGGGCACCATGGCGCTTTTTTGTAAAATAGATACCTCTTGTCTTTGAAAAATTAATTTTGATTAGCATACTCTAAAACCTCGTCCACCGCTTCTTGCAGACTGTGTCACTAGAATATAACTGGGCTACTAATGCGGTGTCGTCGGCATAGAGGTAGACTTCACAGTCGCAGGGATGGGGGACGTCGTGAATGAAAAAAATCGAGTATAAGAGTGGTCCTGTTAATTTTGATTCTGAATTTCCTTTCTTCTAGGAAGGTATTGAGTAGTTTTAATAGCCAAAAATGGAAACCGTTTTGAATAAGTTTATAGAGGAGGCCTGCGTGACACACTTTGTCAAAGGCTTTTGCGACATCCAGAAAAAGGATTTCCGTGCTGAATATGCTGGTTATACGCCCCACCAGCCTGACTGCCTATAGCTCGGACCGAAAACCGAATTGAACGTCAGGAATCACTTGGAGACCTGACGAAAAATTCTCAAGGTGACCATAAATCACCTTTTCGGCGAGCTTAGAAGGAGCGGACGGCAGGCTTTCGTCAACTATAATCGGGATATTAGGAGGCCAAGAGCGATTTGTACAGTTCTCAATCGACGCGTCTACTAGTGCAGGCTTTCCTGTCCAAGGTATCCTCAGTACCCATCTCAAGAATAAAGGGAAGGTGATCGCTTGAGATGTCATGCATAATTATAGAGTTTCTGGAAGTAGATATACTATGGGGATTCTGCCGCACTAGTTTTAAATCCGCCGCTAGAGGCGCTGCACAAAACCTAACGAAATCTAAGTAGTCTCACCGGAAGTAATCCAGACAGCCGACGGCCGGCTGCCGATCGCCTTATCAGTGTTGTTGTGTTCGCCTGCGGTTATGATGATAGTAAGGTGTAGTATTCAGGGGGAGTCAAGAATGTTTTATACAGGAGTGAAAAGGTTGGCAGGTAGCTGGAGCGTAAAAAAGATTGTGCTTGCGAGAGAGAGAGAGAGAGAGCGGCGGACGATGTATTGGAGAGATATAGAGATAGGATGACGTCATGCGCCATTCATGAGTTGGGGATCTCCCCGTTAGAAGGCGCTGCACAAATGGAATCTGTAAAACATCATGTGTCATTGATGAGTTGAGGATCCCACCGCAAGATGGCGCCCCACCTGTCATCTGTCAAATGTAATGTGTCATTGATGAGTTGGGTCTCTCACCGCTAGATGGCGCTACACAAACGGAATCTGTAAGTGTAATTGATGAGTTAAGGATCCTATCGCTAGGTGGCGCTACACAAACGGAATCTGTAAAACAACATGATAAGTTGAGGATCTCGCCGCTAGATGGCGCCACACACGCACGTCATGTGTCAGGTTGTCGCACCTGGATGGCGCTGATCATGTGTCGTAGAGTGATCCAAATACAGGGGGTGTGTGAATTGTGCCTCTCTGCGCTAGATGACGCTGATGTCGCACCTGGGATGGTGCGCTGGTATCGTAGAGTGGTTCACATACAGGGGGGGGGGTGGATAGAAATTTCTCGGGGCCCACCGATGGACCGACGGGCCGATGGGCCGACGGTATATCGTTAGATCGAGACAAGCCCCATTCACGCAGCAAGTGTGTGGGGGTCGCTCATGGCGGTGCGTGCGTGCGTGCACGTAAATGACGTATGTCGTGCACGTGACATAAATGACGTATGCCACACATGTGACGTAGGTCACATGGTTTCACACACGTGACATAAATGACGTAAGTCACGCACGTGACATAAATGATGTATGACGCCACATCACATAAATGAGAGATGGTGAATGAATAAAAGAAAAAACAGAGTTATAAATTATTTATTTAATATAATATTTCATACATGTATCATAATCTAATTTATGCGTCTTGTATGGACCATCGATGACGCCACTACCGTTGTCGTTTGAAGGAGTATGGACATCCTAGCAGGGCTCTAGTAGCTCATCTAATAATGCTGATGGAATATTTATACCCATAGTTGCACACGCATGTTTAATAAATATTCGTTTGAAATGGCAATCGTCAATATACTTGGTTGCATAACGAAGATCAACCAGCTGTATACGAAGAACAAATGACATTTCTTCTACTTTGCAGGTATAAACAAACTTGAAGTTTGACGGTCCGCAGCGATACACAAACAGCTATGTAATAAACCATATATGTCGGTAGTTTGTCTGCATATTCTTTAGGTACTACGTACGTCTCATATGGTGGGGGTGGAAAATATTTCCACATATTATCTCTGTAGTTGTGATCCCTAAATACGAATCGTAATTTATATTCAGTAACATTTTCTGGCACTGTAACTTCAAATGCCTCAACATCATTGTTAAGCATAGTAGCAGTCACGTGCTGCCATCTTGAAGGCCAACTTTCGTTTTTGGTGTTATTTTCATTGAAACAAATGTATATTTCATCCACTCTTAATGGATGTTGAACGTAAAAAACACCGTTCAGCAAAGCACATAGTACAATATAATTAGGTGTTAATGTAATCATGATTAACGATTAACTAACACTTAGGAATGTACTCATCCATTTTATAAAAAAACCCTAATATAAGTCTAATAAATTTTTTATTGATATATGTAATTACAATATATTTGTTAAATGTATTCTTCGTGATGACTTACAATTCAAACGTTGAAATCTTGCACAATTGTGAAACACATTTTGCCTCCATTTAGCCTCGTAGTCGTCATCATCGTCGTGAATGGATAGTCGTTGTAGTTTTTCAAGTGCATGCTTTGTATCTTCATATTGATGAATTTGCTGTTTAATCACTTGAATATTTTTAATGTGGTGTTTCAGAAGCTCTTGCTGTTGCTGCTGCATGTTTGAATCTATGACTGAATTACACGTTTATATACCCATTCTTTGATTTTAAGACAGTCATTCAGAACACATATACCATATACACCATTATGATTTAAACAGAGTGGTATACATTTCTCAATTTTCTCACATTTTGTGGTGAAACGTGAATCACAATCTTCAACATTGATGATATGGGGCTTAATAATTTGCATATCATTTAATCTATCAATTAAAAATTGACGTTTGCACTGTCCTTTCACGTATACCATATCCACATCAGCTAAATGAATCCTGAGGATATCATCAAGTAAACTATAATCTAAGTAGCCCTTCTCATATCTTAGCCCATGGTACCGTTCAGTATACTGTATCGTAACTTTATCTTTAGAGGTTAATGAACTATATTTATTGATAGACCTGAATAATAAATAATTGCTTTGACTTCCAACCAGTATCGACATTTCTTTAACCACAAACCCATAATTCTGAAGATAAAATCCTTGCAGATCAACAAAGCACATTGTAGCCATTGTGTGTGTGTTGCCTATTCAATAAACTACAAGTAAATGATTGACAAAAATAAAAACGGATGATTTTACATATACTATTTAATTATTTCGGAGAGGGGATGCAGTTCCATTACACAATCATGTATGATAATACAGTAAACACGTGTATTGGTGGGGAATCCTTTTGCTGATTCAATGTCTAATTTCACATCTACGGTTGTCGATTTTATTGGTTCACTACGTTTAGAGCAGTCAATAACAAAAATAGCACGATTGTTAAATGATGGATAGTCAAGTAGTGCAGGCTTGAATGAGGTATCTTTATAACTCGGATAAAAATCTATATAATTCATGTGAGCGTCCACATAATCGTTTCTACCAAAGTCAAATCTCAAACGCTCATGGGGATAGTATTCCCCATTGATGAGCAGTCGAACGTCTGTTACATCAATATGATCAAATAAAGTTGGATCCTGATTAACTTTATCGAATTTATCTGTTTGAAAAGCCGCTATTACATATCGTGGACACTCTATAGCAGCACACGTTTGTATCTGCCATATTTCAGGTTTAGCGTTAACTGTTAGAGCTGGAAGTTCATGTAAAGACCACTTTCTGTATGGTACATATACCGGTTTATCGTTTTTAATATTTTCTAGTAGATTCGCTTGAATCACATCATTAGGGTAAATATGTTTTACTAGCAGTTTGAGCTCCTCAATTTCAAGTTAGTCTTGTGTAGTACCGGCGGCGGCGTCAGCAGCTTCAGTAACAATCATACAGTTATTATCATTACGTGCTCTCACTAGACGTATAGTATGTTTCCCATATGCAGCAAATTTATAGTCATTGAAATAATTCAGTAAGTGTTTAAGTGGAACTCTTAGGCTAAAGTATCCAGTGGTAGCATCACGAATAGGTACAGAAGGATAGTTCCATCCTGTTGCGGGTAAATGTCTTGGATCGTTAATACTGTAACATAAGTATCCTCGAACTGTGCTTACAATACCCGGATTTCGAACGGTGTCCAATATGGAACCATTGAGTTCGTATGTACACGAGTCAAAGAAAAACGACGCAGCATTGTTCACAAAGGAAACTGCTCCAGCGCCGGCAGTTCTTATTAATTTACCCTTAATTACAATAGCGGCATCATACATCAAAAGCCATGCATCACTCTGATTAATAGTAATGGTGATTTTATCGTTATTGAGAAAAGACGAAATATATGGTCTATATGTGAACTCTTTAACACCTTGGATTGTATCATCAAATATCGGTTTTTCGTAAACGTCGAACACTTGACTTGACAACATCGTAATTGAGTTATTGTAAAAATAATCGGTTGGCTATAGTAAGTGTGGAATGCAGCAGCACGTCAGCACTCTTTGAATGATCACTACCAACGGATAGAGGATTAACTGGAATATATGGTTTATATTTGTGTTTTTCGAGGGGGGATCACCAAAACCATTATAATTTTTTCAACTCCAAACGTACGATGATTTCTTCTCCTCTAAAGTTCACTAATTCACAATTTTGATCGAGCACCAGCAAAGTAATGTTGTTTATTTCACGTTGACTCACTGGTTGATAAATCAAGTTTTTAGGACTTTCGTTAATTGAACACCCAGCCTCGTCTGTAATAGAGAATTCGTATATGGTATGCGAAGGCCTATCGTTGTAGAAAGCTCCACCGGTAATATTGCTATCAATATGAATAGTTCTAACTTTAACTATATTAACGGGAAGATCTGATTGGTGATAGATCCTAGGTTCCAAGACTCTTGATGGAGATTATCCTAAGACGTATGCGATGGAATCTTTTGGCTGAAAGTTAATGCCATCCACTGAACTATACAGTTCACACTTGAGTGTATTCAGATTAGGTTTCAGCGAAAAAAACGTCTTTCACTCGACCCCCTTCCCCTCCTCCTCCCTCACCGGCAACAATGTGCTTCTTAATATAGGATTCAATATCTTCTATTTCATACGCACCCGCAGGAATGCCGATACTTTTTTCTTGATTCTTGTTGTTGTTCTCGTAATAATAGAATTCATTGTGGCCCTCATCAATGTTAGGTACATTATTATAGGAATAAAAAGACAATAAACTCAAACCGTAATCGAACCCGTCCTCTAATCTAATTGGATTCACAAAATCAATGGACAACGTTGACGTGACTCTTTAAGGTGAATATCTGAGACATGACTGAGAGAGGCTACGGTAGGTCAGTTATTTTAATAGAGAAATTCCAAACAAAGGTGACCACAGATGCTTTGATTATAATTTTGATAACAGTCATTGTTGTAAACGATAGCAGTAGCAGCAGCAGCATTTAAATATTTAACGAGTTCACGTGGAGGTTTAAGATTTCCAAAACTGTCAAAATACTCAGCTATATTACCATTCTTTCTGTACTCTACCCAATGCGTTCCTTTGTTCTTTTGTTCATCTAAATTAATTATACCACATTCGGTTCTTCTAGCACCATCTTTAGGTATAGTGTCTCGCATAAATACACCGCGAAAAGGTGCTATTTTAACCTTTTTGACAAATTTCCGTAATTCCACATCATACAGAGCTCTATTGGGTAGCTTTATTGGTAGTTTTTTTGATGCTGTCGCTTTTTTAAAAATAAACCGAGACCGCTTCGAGCATTTCTGCATAAGAACAGACCGGATCCTTGTTTTCCAATTTCTTCCATTGCTTTGTTATGTCGTTGATTTTCCTCGAGCTTTCGTTTAGCATTTCTAGAGTCGATTACAGTTTTGGCGACTGCACTAGCACCCCCCGCAATACTCGCCAAGGCGCTGAGTCCTGCAAACAACGGCAACAGTGGTAAAAATCCTCCACCTTTTGCTTCAAACGGTATGACTCGGGGAACTCGAATATTTTTCCGTCCTCCAGCTTTCTTTATTGCCATCCGTGCGGCTCTCAATGCTATTGTGGACGACTTGATTAGCTCTTTTTTGTTATTCAAATCCGCTGATCGGTTGTGTTTCTTTAAATGTCTGGAAATTTTTTTAACAACATCTCTTCTAAATGAAGCCGCCGCCGGTTTCATACCCACCCCAAGCTTACGTTTCACGTTCATTGCGTTAGTAACACACCACGAAGCGACTTTTTCACCAAAATTTGCGTCTTTCGACCTCACTCTCCAAAACCACCCAAAACCGATTCCAAGCCTGTTGTTCCAAGATTTCATCAGCCCTATGACGATCGGCTATAGATGAAGATTTCGAATAAGCTATATCGTGTTGTTTGCAAGCAGCGTCTAAGCCATTGATTCCAGGATCACCTCGTCTAAGCTGTTTTTGCAGATGAGTCCAAGGACCGCAATACTGGAACTGAGGTAGATGAAGCTCGATTGGAAGCCGATCAATTAGCGAGTTCAGAACACCTTCTCCTCCTCTTACTCCTCCTCCTCCGTCTCGCTTGAATGCTAACATAATAATGAGCACACGCACATTTTGTGATTATATTTATAATGACCTGCATCACCTTTAAGTGTGTCAGTCAATAGCAAAATGCGTATTCAGCAACAAGCAACTGCACTGTCTATCGAAAATTTGGATTTTGCTGAAGATAACAACCTTCCGAGCAAACATGGAAAATTATTACCGAATTGATTGAGAGCCATATTTTGTGGACCTAGTGGATGTGGCAAAACAAACGCAGCATTGAGCTTGCTGTTGAATCGTAACGGTGCACGTTTTCAAAATGTCTTTGTCTACTCTAAAACATTGCTAGAACCCAAATATACTTTACTAAAAAACGTTTTAGCGAAGACAAAATTCGTTAAATATTTCCCGTATAAAGATAACGAATAAATTATCGATCCATTAGAAGCACCTAATAACTCTATATTTATTTTCGACGACATTGCGTGCGAGAAACAGCAAAAATGTAGGGAATATTTTTCAATGGCTAGACATAAATCCGTAGATGTTATGTACCTATGTCAAACGTATTCTAAAATACCGAAACAGCTTATACGTGATAACTGTAACGTTATAGTTCTTTTCAAACAGGATGACAAGAATTTACGGCATGCATTTGATGAACATATTTCACCGGATCTTACCTATGAACAATTTAAGGAAATGAGTTCGCGATGCTGGTGTGAAAAATATGGTTATATTACGATAGTTAAGGATTTTGAATTGAAACATGGCCGATATCGTAAGGGTTTTGATAAGTATATATGTATATGATATCAACTCTGAACATCAGTTTTGCATGAGATGAAGAACGCAAAGCACAGCAGTCTGTTGAAGAGAAAAAATCAACAACTGTTTAGAGATGTTAGACGAAAGTATTTAGCTTTAAAAATCGGTAAGTCTGACGAGGATGAAAATATTAAGAAACTCTTTCGACCAATAACCGAATCGCTTCAGCAAATAGCGAAAAAGAAAAACGATAATTTGAGTAAAATTAAAAAGGAAGAAACGAGTGGCAAAGAAGAGGAAACTAAGATGGATGATAATGTCGATGATGGTGATGATGATGATGATGTTGATGATGATGAATATAATGATACGTTTTCCGAGCCTGAAAATACGCCCTTTATGTCACAGTATCCAGAAATAGCTCAGGAACCAGTGCAGAAGTTTTTGAGTAAATCTAATACCATTGATCTAGTATATTGTTAGATTCTATTTCAAATATCTAAACTTGGCTCTCCCTATAACACTGTTTGGTAGCTCACGCATGTGCGCCCAAGAACGACGCGGGAGAAGACGTACTGCCGCGCCGGGCAGACACTGCCTGACATTGACCGTGAGTGGTCGTAAATTGTAAAAATCTAACATCAGGTGTGGGGTACACGTGTACTTTTCGTAAACGTTTGGTATTCTGTGAAGTTTTGTGGTTGTGAAAGACATTATGGCAGAAGAGTTGGCTAAGTCTCTAGGAGCAATTGCATCGATTTTGGAAAATCTACCTAGAGGAAGGTAGATGGCAATGGAACGCAATCTTCAGCTCCTGTTATCCAAAAAACTCCTATTTCTTGCCCAGTTTTGATCCGGACAGCACCGATAGCCACGTATGGTTACAAAAAATAAAGGGATATAAAAATGAATTTGGTTGGTCTGACCGGGAAACTGTAAGTAGAATTGGACCTTTTCTATTAAAATCTGCACAAGGGTGGTTTTCTGTATGGCAACCTACTGAAGAAACATGGTAAAATTTCAAGATTGATTTTTCCGTATCATTTCCTAAACAGAAAAATCTAGGTAAGCTTCTCAGTGAGGCAGTAGGCTATCATAGCTCAGAGGCCTGTAGTTAAGTCGAATATGCTAGAGTCAAACTCGAAAAGTTGAAACGCACCCGAGCTAGTTGGGTGGATTTAGATTTGATAGAGATTATTGCACATTCGATAGATGACGCCGTTGTAAGAACTGCTGCTTATAATTGTGGCGCGTCATCTGTGAGTGATTTGATTGCATTTCTTGCTAATTGTATAAAAGTTCCATCATTCGATAAAATGTCAACACATCCAAACAGTCAGAGTGACGACCTTCCACGAAAAAACTCCAAACAAATTAGTTGTTATTCCTGTGGCAAAATAGGCCATTTTTCTCGAGAGTGTAAAAGTAAGGCATTTCCAATTCACAGCAACAAAGATGCAAAAACGTTCTGTCGTTACTGCAAAAAACCGGACCACGAAATATCTCACTGTTTTCGTCGTCAAAACAAACGTGCTCGAGACAGTGGCGGCGAAACCAGTGTAGATAAGAAATTCAAAGGGGAACAACTTTTCCTTAATTCTCATGCTTCTGAGCTCGGTAGATGTTTGAAGACGTTGCCAACTATAATATCAGGTTATTGTACAAATTGTTTAGTAGATACTGGTTCGACATATTCATTAATTAGTGAAACGCTGGTTGAAAAATTGAACCTTGATAAAATACCGCGTATCACAGCGTTACAGTGGTTTGAGGGTACTACTATTAATTCTCTTTTGTTTCTGATGCAAAATTGAAACTTGATTTTGTCGTAGTACCACAAAATCATTCTAAGTATGATGTTGTTATAGGTGAAAACGTCTATGAAAATAACGTAACTTTAATCAAGGATAAAAACGGGCAACAAATTGTTTGTGAACCTATACCCATCACTACCACCTATGATAATCTAGGCCCAGAAGTAGTTACCGATTCAGACTATCATGATAAAGTAAGGCTACTTGAATCACTTGAAGACTATTCTCAGCTGTTAACTACCTCCGGCAAGCTATTCCGTGTCGTAAACACTGGCGAGTTAGTTACTACTCTAACTGAAAACAAAACTATTTATCATCACCCCTACCGTATGTCGGAATCTGAACGCCAAAATGTACGTGAAATCGTTGCTGATCTTCTTGAAAATCAAATTATTCGTGAGAGCAACTCTTCTTTTGCAAGTCCGATAATCTTGACAAAAAAAAAGGGTGGTGGCACTCGTCTTTGCGTAGATTATCGCTCTCTTAATAAAATTACCGTTAAAGATCGCTACCCTCTTCCCCGCATAGATGACCAGTTGGACCGATTGGGTAAAAATGTATATTTCACATCACTTGACAAGGCTTCGGGATTCCACCAGATACCCATTCACCCTGAATCAATTTCAAAAACTGCCTTTGTGACACCGGATGGCCAATATGAGTACCTGAGGATGCCATTTGGTCTGGCTAATGCACCCGCCGTCTTCCAAACTTAAATATGATATCGCTATTGTTTACATGGACGACATCGTTATACCGTCTATTACAGTCGCCGAAGGGATGCTCAGATTAAAATTAGTTTTTGATGCATTGCTTGAAGCAGGATTCTCTATAAATCTCAAGAAATGTCGTTTTTTCATGAAGAGTATCACCTATCTAGGGCGAGTAATCCCAGCTGATGGTATCCAACCTGACCCTAATAAAGCTAAAGCAGTTAAAGAAAGTTTAGCCCCCACTAATGTGAAGCAGGTTCGCCAATTTATTGGATTGGCCAGCTATTTCCGAAAATTTATCCCTGGTTTTTCTTCTAGAGTAGCCTGCATAACTAATCTAACCAGGAATAATGTTGACTTTGCTTGGACGTCAGAATGTAAACAGGCAAGGCGATACATTATTGATGTCCTAACAGAAAAACCTCTATTGTCCATATTTGATCCTTCTTTGGAAACACAGTTGCACACAGACGCCAGCAGTATCGGTTTTGGCGGCATTTTGTTACAGAAATAGGGGAATACTTTCCGCCCAGTTGAATATTTCAGCCAGAAAACATCTCCCGAGGAAGCTGTTTACCATTCATTTGAACTAGAGACTCTGGCTGTCGTTAGGGCTCTAAAAAACTTTCGAGTATATTTACTTGACTTAAAGTTCACTCTTGTTACTGATTGCAATTCCCCTAAGTTGTCTGCAGGTAAGAAGGACCTAAAACCACGTATAGCGCGCTGGTGGGCTTATATGCAAGACTTTGACTTCGAAATAGTCTACCGAAAAGGTACAGAAATATCTCATGTTGACTTCCTTAGTAGAAATCCGACACTGTGGTTCAAGTTAATTTAACATCTGATGATTGCAAAAACTGGCTTACTTTTGCACAAAGTCGAGACCAGGAGTGCAAACAAATCATTAAATCTTTAAATGATAACGAGGTAGATGTCATCCGAAAATATAAATTCAAAAAAGGTACATTGTTTCGAATTATTTCCACTGAAACCAACAAATCTATAGAATTACTACCGTTTGTACCATCTAATAACAGATATAATCTTTTAAAAATATTCCATGATGATCAGTGTCATGTAGGTTTGGAAAAAACAATTAAATCACTAAAACTCTTCTTTTGGTTTCCTCATATGGCTCGGTACGTTAAGAAATATGTTGAACATTGTTTACTATGTGCTGTTCGGAAAAATCGAACTGGTCCAAAGCAAGGCTTCCTCACCTCTGTACCAAACCCTAACGAACCATTTCATACAATCCATGGTGACTGTCTTAGTCCTTTACCTGGAAATCCAAGCAATTATTAGTACATATTTATCCTGGTGGGTGCCTTCTCAAAATTCTGCCTTCTCTACCCCCAGTCCACTGTTACGTCCGAAGAAACCAGACAAAGCGTTGCCAACTTCATCAGTATATTCGGAACCCCAGCAAAACTAATCCACGATGCTGGCACTAATTTTACCGCTTTTCAAAGCATTTACCGAACACTTTGGTATCGAGGTTCACGTGACAACCCCTGGTGTACATCGCTCCAACGGCCAAATAGAACGATACATGCGAACCATAACAAACTTGCTGAGAATTGAATCAAAGAAATCGTCAGATTGGCCGAACAAACTTTGGAAAATCCAACTAGTAATGAACACCACAAAACAGAAGACCACTGGCTATTCACCCTTTAAATTAGTTTTTGGTCAAGAAGGACAAACTCCTCAGATTCGTACAGTCTTACCAGATTTACCCACTCCTGAAGCCACTAAAAATCCAATCGATTCTACCACCGTTCTTAAAAAAATGAAGAAAAATGCTGAAGAACAAGTTATTTCCCTCAACAAGAAGCGTAGGAATAACCAGTCATTCAAAGTTGGTGATGCTGTTTTGTTAAGCCGAGGTCAAAGGGCAGAGAAATTTACATGCGAATTCCTGGGACCCTATGTCATTAAACAACTATTAGCTAATGACCGATACTCAATTCAAAAACTGGGCACGAGAATGACTCTTAAGTGTTCAAAGGACCAGTTGCGCCACTGGCCAATCGAGTGGACTCCTGAGGATTTCCAAAATCTGCTAGGATTAAATGATTGTAAGTAATTCATTTTATTTTGATCAATCTATGCCGTGTTAGATTGTTGCTAGATTGTGTAACAGACTGATCTTATTAATCTATGACCCATCGTAAATATGTGCACATTGCAATATTTCCATCGTGTCATTCTAAAACCCTGATATTAAATGACCCATCGTAAATATGTGCATATTGCAATATTTCCATCGTGTCATTCTAAGTCCTGATATTAAATGACCCATCGAGAATACGTGCATATAGCAGTATTCCCATCGTGTCATCTGATGAATTCCTGTTATAACAAAAAATTAGTTGTTGGTGTTGAATCAGCAGTATTTTCATCGTGTCATCGAATGAAATCCTGTTACAAAAAACTATTGAGCAGCTACTGACGGAGCAGTCTGAGTAATGCTCTTCTTTTGCTTATTTCAGCAACTACCAGCGAAATAGACGAGCAAGCTAAATCTCGACTATCAACCTTTGGAAGATGATGTTCAATAATAATCATGGCTTATAAGTACCTACATGCTGAGTAGGCATATATATAAATGTTTAAAAAAATTTTCACACACACACACATAAATAAATAAAACAACGAAATTGTAATTTCACATGTACTAAACATAAGCAATTATCTACATAGTAGGTACATTGTTTCAATACATAATATATAATATATATATATATAATGCCCCCACGGAAGTGTGTCAATACTCTCTGGAATTAAATAACGTTCATCGTCATACGGACTTAAACTAGTTTTTGCCTGTTCAACAGAATATACGTTGTGTGAATACGACCGAATACAGCGTTGTATAGCTGTTTTTTCCTTAAATTTTTTCAAACATTCAACATAATCCTTAAATGTAATTTTATTTTTAACAACATTTTCTTTAACCCCCATAGATTTTTTAACCACCTGCACCTTGTAGCTATACATTTTGCTTCGAAGCCCAACAAAATGTGTGATAATTTTGCCGTTATTTTCATCTCTCATTAGACCCGGAACCTTTTTGTTCTTACGCGGTATTTTATATATGTTATTTTCAGGATAATCCGAAGTATCAAATTTACTGGAATCAGCTTTAATTATCTCCTCATATGCATCCTCACAGTGCAACTCTTAGAAGAAACTATCAGTGTCCATATACATTAGCGTACACCTATCTGATCCCATTTTTGGTAACATATAGGCGTAATGGAAATCATACATGACCACCTTCGATAGGTCTAGAATTGCCTGACCTACATACAGAGGTTTGATAAACGTTATTTCAGCCTTTATTAAATCCGATAACCACCAGATTTTCTTCTAAAATTGTGCGGCTGTGGAACCGAAAACTCGAAATCAAGTTTGCTGCGCCATAGCGACCACCCCAAGATTTAACGATTTTACATATACGGTGCTTACGTATATTTTCCATAGTCTTACCAAATACAGCGTTATTCATTAATTTAAAAAGATTTTTTTCGAAATCATTCCTGGCTGCAGCCCTGCATCGAGTATTCAGCTCGATGTAGGGCTTCAGCCAGGCTGCTTGATTAAATTGTAAAATTTTATGAATTTTCGATAGCTTTAATCCATTAGCTAGCAGTTACTTTAAATTTTTATAGTGAACCGTGTACTATTTTTTATCCGTAAGTCATTAATTTCGGGAATTTTACCCCGCCGCCGCCGCTGGGTGGTACGCTACGTTCTGCCGCAAACGGAAAATCTTTGTGGTTATCGTGCAGTTCTTGTGGGTACGATAGATCGACTTGTAGCACGTACCCTACGTCAGAGTCGTCGGGTATTGACGTCACATCAAACGATGTTACATCATCCACCCATTAGAACCCTCCGAAGGGAAAGGTTGCTGCATCGCAGCCCCATATAAATTATTTACATCCAGGTACATAAGGTACTTGGTCGGCTTTTCAGGATCATATTCAGGCATATATTTATTGTTGGCCTCCGAAAATCGGTTGCTACACACCGAAATTCCACCTCTTATAGCGTTTTCGTAAAACATCACCATATCTAGATCCTTTAGTAGTTCTAACCTACATCCAGTGTATTTGAGCATACACTCCCACGTATATCCGGGCATTGTATAGTACCACGCAGGATACAGACCATAGGTGGAGTAACATTTTGTACGCAATTGCTCAAAAATGTCGGCAAGAAGCAGAATATCTGTTTTTAAATATATATCAGAATATTCCCCTTATGTTTTAATGTTAAACTGTCGCCAAACCGATTGCGCATGAGCATACTTCTCGTCACTTATACTTTTATCGTTTAATTTATTGTAAAATTTTTCAATTGGGGGCAAAGTCGTTTCATTTAGTTTTTCCAAAGAATCAATATAATCGTAACCGAAACCTCCTTTATGTGTTAATAATTTGACTTTATCTTTATCTAAATTTTGAAATTCCGTCCGTAAAATTTTCTTTTCTGATTCTGCTAAAATTGAAGCTAATTCATCAAGAGAGGCCCCCATAAATGGAAAAGAGTCTACAAACCGCAATTTAATGTTATTTTCAGCTGAATGCAGCGTAAAGGAAATGTATTTATCTTTGTTGATGGGAAGTAGGCTTAAGCGACCTTTTTTACATAAATTTGAAATCATAAAGTGACTATCGTACCCACTTAAATTATGGAATATAACCGGCACAACGAACAATCTTCTAAAGGTCAGATTGCAAGCTTGGTGTGCGTAACCTCTGAACTCTCCACTGAAATGGTTGTGATCTGTAACGATTATGTCTTTTTGCTTTGAAAATCTCTTAGCGCAAATATGACATGATGTTGCCTTACATGTGTCGAATTTTTCAATCATAGGTACGATTGTTTTTATTTTTGAGTTTATAAATTGCGCAACACCACCCTTCGATTCGCAAACCAATCCATACAATCTGCACCTCGATAACTCTCGAAGTAAGAAAGACTATCACCATAGTTGCATTTCACATAGAAACCAGCACTATACGGAACGTGTGTTTGATATTTTACGGTTTTAGTTAAATTGACGACGCTACTTTCTTAACAATTTTCTAATTGACATCAACATCTGCCTAAACAACAAAAGGAGTATTTTGTTGGTATGTAAAGTTTTTAAATTTAACGTAGCTCTCTTTAGGAAGGTTAATTTTATATTTGTTAAATTTAGAACACATACATCTATCGCAAATAAATTTTTTCTCACGATGCTTATTTAACTGACTACTAATAAGAAGCGAATGATTTTTAATCCAACAATAGTGATATTTAATCTCATCGATGGAATCATTATCTTCATCCGCTAGTGGTGGAGTATCATAATCATTTAAACGCGGATATTTTGAACTAAAAGTAAATTAACATGCGTGTCTCGTTTATATTCCGTTAATCTTGCTGGTACTACCGTGTAAAATGATGCTTTTTCTGTTTCAATTAATTCTAAAGCGTAAACATTGACTGACGTATTATTCAGCTTTTCAAATTTTGAAATTTTTGTTAGCGGCATAGGACTATCTAAATTTTCTGTTTGTAAAACGTCAGTAAAGTATGCATATGAGGAGGTTAGTTCTGCATGTCCTTTATTGCTATGAGTCCGAAGAGCGCTTACAATGGCCCAGTAAAAGCATTTTTGATCTCTATTTTTAATGTTTATACAAGCTTTTCTTCTCACAATCGGTTCTGGTAGTCTAATATAAGATGAAGCGTTTCCAAATTGATACTTATTGATATTAACAGACAAAGAAATAATTTTATTTAACGCAAATCCTGAATCTTTTTCAGCAAATTCCGATAATTCATTTAAAATTTCTCTTTTACATATATGTTAAATCACTCGTCTATTTGAGTTGACGCATCAATAATATGATTTTTAGTATTAAAATATTTAATTCCCAAGATTTCATTATCCTCCGACGACGATGACGACGATTTCCTAATAAACTCTCCGCAAAATGTTATATTTACTTTAAGCGCAGGATGGGTTTTCAAAATTTTACTAATTTTCCTTTTAAAAACAACTACACAATCTGCTAAAAATTGGTTCAAGTCCTTATGATGTAAATTAGCCATAAAACCTGTTGTTATTCTGCTTTGAAAGCTTGATTCTACATTTGCCCATCTAACCCCCTGACTCAATGTTAAGTGAAGTCCTGCGCCAATATGTCTAGTTAAAATCAACTTTCTAAAACGTTTAAAATGTCCCAAATTTGTTTATACAGAATTTATTTTGTTTTCTACTACGAATTACCCTTTTACATAACCTAATTTGTTTTTCTATTCGTTTTAGCCACACTTCCGCGTCTCTTATTGTAAAATTATCAAATAAAATTTGTCTTAAACTAATAATTGATAGTAGAACACCGTTTGTTTGTTTGATGATATTTTTAACCTAATTTGAAGACATGCGAAAATACATTTTATGTTTCAAAAAAGAACACTTTAAGCAAACAAATTACGCAAAAAAATTTATAAAAATTGCTCACCCTGTCCTGTCCGTTAATTTTCTTCTATTTTAAATGGGGTCGGCTTTTTCCTATATCCACTTCACCTTGGAAGATTAGAGAGTATTTTCCGTTATGCAGTTCGTTAATGGTCGGCCGGTATACTTCAGTCGCTCGCTGAGGTAGAAATAGGACGTCAGGATCTAAATCCAGTAGTACTTTTTCCCCAAAGTTCGAATTAACCACTTTTGCTGAGTGTATCGCAAACGGTGTTCCAACTGGTAGGTCCTTTAATTTTCGAACTGCTTGACGGTCTGCAATCGAAGATGTCGCATTAATTTTTGCCAAATCCAGGTATAACAAAATTGAGTCGACTTTTACTACTTTGAAGCATAAAACGAAATAAACGTACTAAACAAAAATGAAAGCGAGAAACATTCGTTATCTTACACGAACACTTTAAAAACACAGATAGTTGCACTTAGAGACATAGAAAAAGAAAAATATTAAATAAAATAGCGGACTCACTTACTTTTACTTCGCTCCCCTCTCTTCTAGCACTTTTGTACTGTGGTTGTTGTTGTAGCGTTGAATGTGAAAGAATGATAATTATCTACTGCATGCGCTCGTTCAATATAAATACCATGACCATGACGCGAGTGCATGCGATAATTATAACATAAAAATACATAATATTATCAGTACCACTATTGTCGAGAAAAACAAAACACTTTAAACGTTCGTTGCGGTTGCGGTATTTTGCATATAATTTCTTAGTATTCCTTGAATACATCGTTTGTCCGGAAATTCCAAAAATATCTTTTGCATTATGCATCGTTTAAAAATCGTAAATACATTTATGACTAATATGATGCTTAACAGTCTAATCGATATGTCGAGCGGTGTGCTGTCACTAGTTGTAATCTTGTGTGTGTGTATGTTTCTGCGACCAGTGGGACTAGCGCCATTTTTTAGGACACGTCTTGCTATATACGATAAGGTCTGTGCCCCCCATAAGCGACCCCCCCACACACACACTTACCATGTGAGGAGCTTATTTCCATCTAACGATATACCATTGGCCCATCGGTCCATCGGTGGGCCCCGAGAAATTTCTATCGACCCCCCTGTATATGACACCAGCGCGCCATCGGCGTCATCTAGCACTGAGAGGCACAACTCACACACCCCCTGTATGTGGATCACTCTACGACACATGATCAGCGCCATCCAGGTGCGACAAACTGACACATGACGTGCGTGTGTGGCGCCATCTAGCGGCGAGATCCTCAACTCATCATGATGTTTTACAGATTCCGTTTGTGTAGCGCCATCTAGCGGTGGGATCCTCAACTTATCAATTACACTTACAGATTCCGCTTGTGTAGCGCCATCTAGCGGTGAGAGGCACAACTCACCAATGACACATGACGTTTGACAGATGACGTGTGTGGCAGCATCTTGCGGTGGGATCCTCAACTCATCAATGACACATGATGTTTTACAGATGACAGGTGGGGCGCCACCTCGCGGTGGGATCCTCAACCCATCAATGACACATTTTCCCATGTGTAGCATGCGCACGCGCACGCTCAATCTTTTTTATGCTCCAGCTACCTGCCAACCTTTTGACTCACCCTGTATAAAACATTCTTGACTCGTTAGGTCTTGTGCAGCGCCTCTAGCGGCGGATTTAAAAGTAGTGCGGCAGAATCCCCATAGTATATCTACTTCTGGGTATCGCGAAGCCTATAACATCTGGTGCCTGCAGATAGTTAAAGGGGTGGTGTGTCGGCTCATCAGTGCTTTGCATTTCAGCATTCGTACCTCTGTAGTAATCAATACCATGCTTAACAAGCACGGCCAATCCGCCACCTCTCCTATTCAATCTGTCAGCACGAATAACATCATAATTCGCGAAGACGAAGCGATCTCTGGGTTTTAAAAAGGATTCCTGCAGCAATGCCACAACTATTGACTCGCCCAAAAGGGCCTGGTGAAATTCTCGTTTCTTACCGACGTCTCTCAACCAGCAACAGTTCCAGAACATAATTTTGAGAAAAGCAGGCTGTCTATTATACTTAGCCACCTTTAGGCGGGAAGATCGCTTGCAACGCCTGTGTTGCGCTTATCAGAGGAGTAATAATGTGTTGGGGTGACTTGAGCGCGGTCGCCAGGTCTACTTGTTGAGAGTTCAAAGCAGGAGCTGTAGCTCAAGTGGCAGGACCTGCAGGCTCGGCTGTCATTTCAGCATAAGATTTATTGCGCCTTTCGGCTATAACCTGTAGGTTCCTCTTAGGAGTGAACCTGCACGTTGGACTGTTGGCATGATGTCCGTCCCCGCAGTTTGCGCATTTGCGTACCTCCTGTCTAGTTTGGGGGCACAAATGTGTTAAATGGTTCTGTGCTCATTTTACACATTTGGGTGGCGCTGTACAGTAAGACTGGGCGTGCCCATACCTCTGGTAGCGGTGAATTGAGAGGCCTAATAGTTCTTTTTCATTGAATAACTCATGTGATTTTTCGATTTTAGGCAGTATTACCACTACCAACGGCATGGGAGTGCTCCCACTGCGTTTTAATCTGATCAGATGGAGAGGGGTATATCCTTTCTGGTTCAGTTCCTGCTTTAACTCTTCCTCGTTGAATGACGCGGGGATACCACGTATGACAGCATGTATGTTTCTTTCCGATGGCAGAGGAAAGGTATGATGGGCAATATTTTGCTCTTTGAAATGCCGAATTATCTTTCTGTAAACGTCCTCGGTTTTGGGGACGATTCTACATATAATCCCCGCGTCAATCGCTACCGCGCGACATATCTTAATCCCTAGACTAATAAATTGATAATTGACGTTTCTACACTTTTCTGGCTCCCTCAGCACGAGCGGAGTGATGCGCATTGGCTGAAGCTGCTGCGCCGCTTTTCTGGCAGAACCAGAACGTGCAGCGGTAGTATAGGTCTGTATAAGTGAAGTAGTTGTGTGCGATGTATCAATGAGTGGATGAGTATTAATTTATGAAAGATGTGCTACTGTAGGAACATATTGAGTTGGTAAAGGAGGGAAGTCTTGTGTCGCACGTTTAGCCGTTGTTCGTCTTTTCCTTTGTTTGGCTGGCGTAAACTCGTCGCACCAGAGATAAACCCTTCTACGTCGCACCGTACGCTGTCATCAGAAAGACCGTCGTCGTCAATTGGATCCTGATTTTCAGGTCTACGATTAAGGCTGTCACTACGGGAATTTCTACTTAGCTGTGTATTCAGTGCTGTAACCTGGGCGGTCAATACTATGATTGAGGCTCTTAATAAGATCCGCCTAGTCTGCAATCTGATGGGCCTGCTGCTGTATCTGTATCTATTCTTTTCCAATTTTGGGTGCAGTTCTGGTAGAGTCTGCATTGTTGGTGGAGGACCGACCATCCTCCGACCCTTCCAGGTCCACGTCCATTTTTTCTCTCGCCTTTTATTCGCAAAAATGAAAAAATTGCGCGGAAGGCCATTTTTGACGTTTATAATCAAAACTCTGTATAGGGCGATCTAATCGCGATTCTTCCGTGCCGCCGCCATTTGTACGCGGTGCCCGCGTCTCATTGCTCCAACTTCCACGCACTGAGTGTTTGCAAACCCATAGAAAAATAGTCCGTTTCGAAAGACAGTTTCAGGCAAACTTGACCTTAAATATCTTGCATGTTGTGTTACCCGTAGTATTGCGCAGCTCATAGAGTGTAAGAAAGGCAACATTAGCGTAGTAATTCTACCCTAAACGTCATGTAAACTGGCAAAGTGAGGGATGAGGGGCTCAGTAATAGGTCGTCTTTCGTCTCTAGGCGCGTCAGTGCTATAATTTATTGCCTATGGTTCTCCGTCTGTGTAATACTACTGATAACACACAGTATATGATTTTTTGAAAAAGCCTAAACTGGTAATTTGTTATAGATAAAAGACGTTATATAATGCAATGAAGCAACAATGAAACAAATGGAACCAATACAGATAAATCACTGAATATTAAGTAAATATGTTCATATTGTTGGGATCCTTATATGACAAAAACAGCCTTTATAAAAAAGTACGGCTCGGAATGCTTTCAACATTTTATCAGCGTATACTTCCATTATAACAAATATGTTTAAAATTTAATTCAATAAATAATTCTGGGTGTTGCATTTTCTTAGTAGATTTTGTCGCCGCTCTAGAAATGAGCAGGAACTAGAAAACAAGTTTTGTAACATTACTCAATTGATGTAATATCAATATTTTCATCAACGTTTAGTGAGCGTTTTTTCCTGAACCTAGAAGCGACTTTATTTTATTTTATTTATTTATTAATTATATCAAGGTGTCTCAGAGCTTTGTAAAAATTCATGAGGTTATTCCTAAACCACTAGGAATTTTTTCGCTTTTCATGTTCGAAAAAAGTATAAGTATAACGTGCAAAAAAAACTGACAGGCCACCTACAACTGGTCTTATTGGATAACTATATTAATACGTAAGGATCGGTAGTACCACAATTTACGAAACTGAGCAGCAGCGGTGGCGTAGTGGTAGACGTTATCGGACTTCCAATCAGTTACCGTTCGCTGCGCAGGTTAGAATCCCATCCCAAGAGAAACATTTCTCCTGGCTATGGATGTTATTGTCCGTAGGTGGTAGACGGTCTCTGACTGTCGAAGGCGGAGGCAACACACGGCGGATTTTTAAAGCGGGGCCAGGATTTGCGCATGTTGCATGAACACGGGCTCTCTCGCTAGTCCGTGTGGCGTTCTCCGCCTCCCCTGCATCCCACTATAGCCCCACGGTACCCAATGGGTGTTTAGGCATTACGCCTTCGTGGTGGTTCAAGTATTAAAAAATAACGTCATCGGTATGTAACGTTAGGAGGTGATTTTCACGTTAATTTTACGTCATTCACCTTTTGTTTTTTCGTCATTTCATGACCAGTTTGTAACGGCATTTTCAAGTGCTTGTGCTACCTGGGGGGATAAGACGAAAATTTCATTTGAACATAAGTCTCAAAATGCACCCTTTTCGAGATACGAGATATTATGTTATAATAAAGTCGTGGAAAAATTATCCTCTCAATCAAATATTTACTTGAAACTTAGTACATACATGCAGTACTAATAGCCTTCGGATCATAGACAAACAATTTTTCTGCTCAATTGTCACTCTTGAGTTTTTTTTGTCAGTGGTTTTCCTTTGAAGAAGAATTAGTTTAATAAGCTTGTGATATAATCCGTATAAAAAACTTCGTCCACATCCGTTCAACTTTGAAAATATACTCAGTTCAATAAAGTCTGGCATTATATATTGTTTTGGTACTTAGAGGAGAATTTCTACCTGATCAAGACGCAATTCGTAGATTATTTGTGTTTAGTCTGTATATTGTTCTATTGTTTGCCTAAAAAGACACCAACATACATATGCTCTTATATTTATTTCAATTAAAAATGCAGCATACTAAACTGTATTAGTGCAATAGCGTAGGTGCCAACATTTGTGAAAACGGAAATGATCAACGACAAATCCACGTCGTAAAACCCAGCAGCTGAAATAGTCAGTGATCCATAAGAAATCCGGTGAGCCATATTGAGAAGTTCTATTCGTTCCTTGCAAACCTGCGTATGTGGTAGTAAATGTTGCAGTTTGCAACACAACTTCGTTACGGAATCTATTTCCTCTTTCAACAGATCACATGACGAGATGATGAATGACATCCATATCTACAAAGCACAAATATTTGTATACGTAAATTGGAATTGTATGGGTGAATTTGCGGTTCGTTATGATTACATTGTATTCACGAACAGAGTACGCTAGTTAGTAATCTATAATCTAGCTATTTTATGATAACTTTCCTGCTAGTACCATTCCACTATTTTCTATTCAAAATTATGATTCGTCAAGTGGGGAAATGAGTTGCGAGGAAGAAATAAAGGCAGTAAATGATGTTTGCCAACATCTCAGGCATTTTCGCGTGGCATATCCATAACAACGTACATATTTGCACTTACCAAGAATATAAAAAATTCACACACGTTATTGGAGAATATTTCTACAGTAAGAGTCTTTTCCTGCATCATGATCAGAGTAGTATTGATAGAAGACAGAATAGTTATGACTGTGGAAAAACTCATCAGTAATATAACAACTCCGAATACTTTGTTACATATATCCACGCACTCGAACAGGATGTTCAGTACTTTTGTTGCCTCCACTAAGCAATGTGATGCCTTAGGTCCAACAACAAACAGTGGAGCTGGCCTGTCTACTCCCAAGAAATTGAAATATGGATATTTCGAAGTACCGAATGCTTCCATCAAAAATACTTTCAGTGAAACAAAATCGTTTCTAAGTAGCAGTATTGTGTTGTATATAATGCTCGTGATCAAGAATATGTAGTAATAGAATACGTTTTTCACAAAAGCGTGCATGATCCGTGGTGGAAGTGAAATCTTCGTATCATCGTACACAGCTTCCCTGGAAAAAAAATATTGAAGTCATCCTCTTATACACGAATACCTTCTTACAAATATGAATATTACCCTTTCAACTCAAGGAAACTAAGCAAGACGAAAAATGACACTTCGTTCAACCAATGTCTGGTGCTACATCATGTTAATACTCGTATATAATGATAAAATAGCGCCTGTTATCAAGGAACCAGAAAGGCATCTTGAATCTATGACTGCTCGCTAGAATGTTTATCTACATATAAATAAATTGCTCTGAACCTTAGGTTCTGCGCGAGAAGGTGACCAGCGTATCCTTCCTAATAGGATTTAAAGCTATTGGTACTAAATATTTCCCAAGGAATCGTGATAGATTTACAGAGAACTGTAACAGATTACCCACCTATAATTAGAGGTATATTTTTAAAACAACACAAAAGATGTCACTTATAATATATATACGTTACATCAGGGTGTCCAAATAGTATGTCAAAGCTCAATATCTTCCTTACTATTAGAGTTGCACAAAAAAGTTAAATATAAAAGCTGTAGGCAGGTCTACAACCTAAAATTATTTTTAGCTATACAGGAAGTCCCTTAAATTACTTTTTCGTTGAAATCAGCATCATATTGAGTGATGAAAACAGTGCTAGATATTCATAGGTATCCAACGTTTTTTCTGTACATATTTCATTCGAGACATCCAGGGTGAGTCAAAACAGAAAGATGTAATTTTATCGAAAAGTTTAAATCGTTCATTACACCTCTATTCAACGCATCTCGTAGTGCTCTTTCAGGTTTACTAAGCATTGCATATACCCAAATCTAGTATATTCTGAGTTATTCCATGTTTTAGAAGTGAAAACCATAATTTTGGAATTATTAGGAAAATATTAATAATTGAAAATAACAACAATTCTGTAACAACTAGTTAGGAAAATATTAATAATTGAAAATAACAACAATTCTGTAACAATTATGTTATTGATAACTAACTAAATCTATTTATGTACTTAATTAATTGTTCAAAGTGCCCACCACCAATATCAATACATGCCTGCAACCGACGTTTAAATCATTCGGCAGCATTTCTTAACATTTGGTGGTTGATGCCCTGAAAGATTTCCCGTTCCTGCCTTGCATATTAACTCTTGTCGTAGGTGGAGTCTTACAGATCTCTTCTTTAATCTAACCCCAGAGAAAATAGTCCACTTTCGTTAAGTCGGGAGATCTGGGTGGCCATCTGTCTGGCCTTGCTCGTCCAATCTACCTCTGAGGGAATTCAGCATTTAAATAATAATTATTATTGTTTGTGCGTGATGTGCAGGAGAAAATTACATCTTTCAGTTATGACTCACCTTGTATGCCTCAGATGAAACATACGTATACAGTACGTAAAAAAACATTGAATATAAATGTCTACTACTACTTCCATCACTCAGTATAATAAAACAGTTATCTAAAGAGTGTTTAAGATACGGGAAGTCGAATATACCATGATTTTATGAAAAAGTGGCCATATATTCCGAAATACCCAGTACAAACCGCCAAAACCATACATTGACAGAACGGTCAAGAAAAGGCGCTTCTGAAAATCAAAAGAAATACAGGAACATCCATTTAAAAAAAATACAGGTTCATATGTATGGAACTATTTTATTGGTCACTCTATATAGCTGAAAATAATTTTATGTTGTAGCGCCTAGCTCTGCCTACCGCTTTTGTATTTAACTTTTTCTGCAAGTCTAATGGTAACGAAGGTATTGCGCTTTGACACACTGTTTGGACACCCTGAATATATATGTATATATATATATATATACTCGTATATATACAGGGTGGCGCATCGAAAACGGACAGGCACATTTACTGGCAGCTCAGTTTTTTTTTGAAAAACGCTCAGACCCGTCGAGGGGGACACAAGTTTGGCAAAAAATCACGTTAGCACGAGCAGCCCCCTAAGCGGGGGTGAGACCATCCCCAAAATCTTAAATGGAAAGGGGGGTCGAGAGATACCTCATTTTAAAGGACCTTCAATTCCCTTTATAATGTTTATAATGATATAAAATTAATGTACTTCAGTTCAGTAGTTTTGAAGATTTATTGATTTAAATCTTAAATAAAACTAATGCATCATCATTACTGTAGATCAATACATTTGGCAGCAAAGTAATTTAAAAATGAAGAATGAACTGACCCGTTAGGCAAGTAAATGTTGAAAATGGCCACCATGACTCTCCATGCAATAATAAAGATTTTGGTCAAAACGTTGCAATATTTGAGGAGTAATTTGAAGGCACTCATTCACAATTCTTTGTCGCAGGTCTTCTAATGATGTTGGTTGAGTAGCATAGATTTTGCATTTTAATTGACCCCACATAAAGAATTCCAAAGGTGATAAATCTGGCGATCTTGGGGGCCATTCGATGGCACCTCTTCTACCAATCCATCGATCTGGAAACGTCTGATCTAAATATTGTCGAACACGTAATGCGTAATGTGGTGGGGCACCATCCTGTTGGAACATCAACCTATTCGCAATGTACCGCCGATCATTCTGATTTTCAATTATGGCTGTTAGTGCAGGATCTATGGCGTCTTCCAGTAATTCCAATACATTTCACCGGTCAAATTTCCAGATAAGAAAAGAGGACCAACTAAATGATCGTCAAAAATACCAGCCCAAACATAAAATTTTTGTGGCTGCTCTGTATGAACCTCATGATAAATTCTGGAATTAGAATTGGACCAATATCGGCAGTTATGACGATTTACTACGCCATTTAAGAAAAAGGAACATTCGTCGGAAAAGCAAGTGTTGAATAGAAAATGTTCATCGTTCATAATTCGTTCACTCATATCTTCACAGAATTGTAATCGCCGATCAAAATCGTCTTCATTAAGTTCTTGTACCAGGTGAATTTTATACGGATGAAATTTATGGGCCTTTAGAATCCGTTGTACAGTACGTACACTAACACCACACACAGTCTCCAATTTGCGGGTACTTAACGTAGGATCTACATAAACTTGCCCTAAAACCCCCACTTCTATTGTTTCGTTCCTTATGGGATTTTCAATGTTGCGTTTTTTTTGGCGACTGACCCAGTTTCCAGAAATTTAGATACAAGTTCTAGAACATATTTTCGATGCACGTTACTGTTCTCATGTCGCTCATTGAATATTTCTGCTGTTCTATTAGCGCACTGATTATTTCCGAAAAATATTTCGATAATTTCAACTCTTTCTGCTGTGGAATATACCATGGTTAATTCATGTAATAAGACGTTACAAGTTATTTTAGCAACAAAGTTTGGTCAAATCAATCGCAAACTATGTACTAAATTCCAATTTTAAGTAAGTACGAGATATTTCCTTATCTTTCTTCAAGAAATAACTTTTGCTACAAAAAAACGCTCCAATAGCTATTTTCAACAACAAAATGATATACAAACCATGGGCGTAGTGAAGAAAAGCATTTACTTATTAAGTAAATTCTTTTAGTCAAATTTCTTCTGAAAGTAGTACAAACTAATCTGATGTACCTATAAAAGTCTACTTTAAGCTTTAAATCAATAAATCTTCAAAACTACTGAACTGAAGCTCATGTATTTTACATCATTATAAAGGGAATTGAAAGACCTTTAAAATAAGGTATCACTCGACCCCCCTTTCCATTTGAGATTTTAGGGTTGGTGTCACCCCCGCTCAGGGGGCTGCACGTGTTAAAGTGATTTTTTACCAAACTTGTGTCCCCCTCGAAAACAAAATCGACGGAGCTGACCGTTTTTCCAAAAAAAAGTGAGCTCCCAGTAAATGCGTCTGTTTCGTTTTCGATGCGCCACCCAGTATATGCTTAATTTGCTCACCGCCTGACCGAGATTTTAATCGTATTAATACTATATTGACTAATAAACCAAGGGGTAGAGTGGCACGTGACCTGTCGAGTTGAGGTTATGTGCTATTTATGTGTTGACAACTGACTCATATTTCCCGCGGTTACAAATTTCATGACTTGATAATGTTTATGTTTTGCTGTTTGATTGTCGATTGTAATTTCGATTTTTTTTAAGTTGCGTTTATTCCTCATAATTATTTCCCCGGTGCAATTTATTCAATTAACTTTTGATGATTTTTCTCACGTACTTCGTAACCGCAACGATTTGGCATGCAAAACAGAAGCTTCATGAGGTTTTTCCGATCCTGACATTTTTTTAGGATCAGTAACAAGTGACACAAACTCTGAAAAAAACCTCTACAAAAACTACAAATGCTTCTCAAAATTCATATACCTTGAGTGGAATACAAAACACGAGAAAAATTGTCCAGAACAAACTAGAAGTACGCGCTCAGCTAATCCTTTCACATTTCAAGTGAACTAAAGAGGAGAAACAGATGGCACCAACGGCGGCAAAAAGACTCATTATACTATTGCTCCGCAGATGGCGCCAGCAGCTCTCAGGAAAAAATAGGAAAAGCAATATGAATCATGCTCATAGTAATAGATGATAAAAATTGTTTAATTGTAATAGATCTATTACATTTGTAATAGATGGAACAACACAGGAGGCGACTGCTGACACCTAGAATGCTAATGCATTGCGCCCCATACGTCGAATATGCAGAAAGACCGCTATGGATTCTGTCCACACTGGAAGGCAGTTCCGCTCTAAAGTCGGAAGGTGTTGTCCATCATCGTGGTATAGACAGCCCGTCAATCAAAGGGAACACAAAGTGTCCACCATGGCTACCAGCAGTGGCGTACCAATTAGGGATTGCATAAATATACCATGCTGTTTGCTTTTCGTCTCTGTGACCTGTGATCATGACCAACCGCATAGGATAATGAACAGCAAAAAAGCGGATGTAGTGCCATACTCATAATGTCGAAGACTTGTGCGTCACTTACCCATACTGATTTACGCCTATTATAAGAAGTAAAAGAACATGCCCCAGAAACAATTCCAGTACAACGTGTGAACTTTTCCTTTTCATCTTCCTGATATGCAATTTACACTTCAATATATTCTGTATTTTCAAATATTGTCCCCAATTTTCTTTGTGAAGAAACTCCGAACTCAACACCGATATAACGCAAATAGCTGTGAGGAAGGTATTCTCCAGAACAGTCAAGATTACATTTGAGGGTCTAGATGTCTTGTAAATAGTCATCGCGTTAAACCACTCGCTATATGCACAGCCTAAGAGTATAATAGCTGTCAGGATTAAGGCATAACATTTCCGAAAGACGTTTGCCTTATAAAAAGCTTCTACCCTGACGAAGTCGAAGGGTAAGAAAAGTGAAAATACTTGCAACACAAAGAAATAGACCCTAAGGTACGTGCTATACATGACGACTAATATATATTGTCGATGCACAGAATATAAATGGAATGGGAAAATCGCATGTCGATTCTTCGTTAACTAATACGAGGTCCACTATTATGTAAAGTTGACACTAGTATTATTCCATGTTGGTGATAACGGTAGTCAGATGTTATCACACAGAATGATATAGTTAAATATTTAGTATGTCTAGCTTAAAAGTTTCGATAAGATCAAATTAAGGAACTTTGATACACGAATATTGAGTAGATGTCGCTATTGATATATGTATGTAGCTAGAAAAATGAGAATTACCGATATAAAAATCTTTGAGCCCCCAAACAATTTTTTGACTACGTGTTATGTGGTCAAAAACTTGAAAAGCTATGAAAAATAAACCATGCAATGTTGGAAACATTTTTCTACCCTAAGTTTCTTTGACATCGTCCAAGTAGGGTTCGAACGCTCTTAGAATATGACCGCTACGTCATCGTGGGCGGGTCCGCTCATCACGCGGTCGTCGACAGAGCGCAGTGGCGTTCTATTTTATTTGAAGTATAAAATAAAGTGAATAGGTTGTGTAGAGATTGATCATTAATTGATTTTTGTATTATTATATTCATTTAGTATGCGCATTAAGTTGTTCGGAAGCAAATTTGAATTAGAAGAGGGAGCAAACTTAAGACGGTTATAATTCAAATTATACAGGGTGACTTTGAAGTTGAGTCATTAATTTTCAGATAATGATTGTAGAAGGAAGATAAACCAAAATATGTGTGTAAAAATAAAAAAATAAATAAAAAAAAATGTTACCTTGTTTAATAAAGTATCGTCCCGACAAGTATTTCAGTGCGGACCTGTATTTGATCGTGCGGTATTGGAGCAGCATGCCCTGACCTGTGAGGTCTTAAGTCACCTGATTCACGAGCACTTTGTACTACATTAACAAAGGCACGAGGGGTTGGTTGCACTCGATTGGGAAACCGATTCGCATAAATCCGTGATGCATCCGGGAGCATTTTGTAAAGACTGCCCCCCCGTAAATAAGAATCATGTCCACAAGTTCAGCATTTTCGTAAACATGTGCCATTTTTGATTTCGTTTGAGCCACGCAACAAACACTTACTATTTATTCACTAACGCGTTATCGACTGACGAAAAACATCGTGATAAACGTTTCAAATTCTTTCGCTTTTTTGTTTCCGATGCGATGAACCGGCCAGGCGGATTATATCCGTTGTCGCCAAACACGAACATATTATTATTGAGACAGGGCAGTACTCAAACTTCCAAAGGGCTATAACTTTGTTACTTTAATTTTACCAGAAAAATGGTAAAGGAAAAAAACATTTCTTTTGATCAGATCTACTCACTGTTAAAATAAATGACTCAACTTCGAAGTCACCCTGTATATTATCATTAAAAAATCTAATCGCTATCAGATGATAGTGTGTTTAGCTTCAAATCTTTATCTGAGTCGCTTTCGTCACTATCTTCTGATGGTGTTCACATTGAATTGATACTTATCCATTTGATCGTCGAGAAGATGTTCTTTTTCCATTTGTGCTTGCTCATATTTTTTCACGTGGTTACAATAGTAAAAATTTCCACTATATTGCAATCTATTTGACAATTTTTACACACGGTGCCTTGTTCAAATTAGTTTACAAACTGAACTTATGACTAACGGACAGGTTTATATATCTGTTGCAGGTAAAATAAATGTGATTGATTAACACTCATCGTCTTAACGCTACTTACGAACGAAGGGATTTAGCAACCGGGAATTATTCCAGGTAGTTCAATTTTACACTTGTTATTATTAGATTCGTTTCTACTAATTTTGTGTACCTAGGCTTGATATTGGTATTAGCCTATTTATCTAGGTACTAATGATGCACTCTAGGAAATCTCATGATTGGTATAGATATAAGCGGATCACAGTCTTAGGATTAATTTAATTACTTTCAGTTGTTTGCCAACTTTGGGGTTTTACCGTTCAATATTGTGTCTATTATATGTAGGTACCTGCTCACTATTTTAAATTTTGATTTATGGATCTCCATCAAATATCCACAAACCCCATAAGATTAATAATTTTCAACACAATCAAATATAAAATATGATATGGTTAATAAATAAAAAAATAAATAAGTCGAACAAACGTCTCATCAGATCCCAATTGTGTCAACAATCTCAACTGACTGAAACTTGCGTATCTACATACTAAAAAACGTTCCGCCTATGGCTTTCTGAGAGTGGGATGTCCCTTAACAGCGTCAACAGCAACATAATTTCTGGACATTGAAGACCACATACATTTTTAAGCTTTCTACGATATAAATATTCGCCACGATTAGAACTGGACCACATTAAGAGGGCGGTAACAGATGTCCATAAATCTTACCAGTGACTGTCACAACAATTTCCTATATTCTTATAGGGTACAATCGACGCAAGGGAGAGGGTATAAAGTGATGACGTAGCGGGCATAACCTTAGGCTGTTCGAACACACCAATTTCTTGTATGAAAGCTTTTTATTCAGGAACAAAGATCGAAAAAATGCGTGTTTAGGGATTCAATCCAATATGAGCATAAAAACTCGTCAAATCGAGGTACATAACATACTTAGGCGACCTACAAAAAAGATCTGACTAAAATCAAAATGTTATAGCCTTACACATAGTCAAAATGCAGGTTTTTGTACTTCTTGGAAATTATAGTCTCAAGCAGATACTTGAAATTGCTCGAATTCGTAGACCTCATACTTCTAAGTAACCACTACAAAATTGAAGTCAATTTAGTCGAGTAGTTTTTGAAATTTTTTTATTTTTCATCTAAAAACACCTGCTTTCCAGCCATTACTACCAGTTTATGGATCAACATACAGGGTTCGTTCAAATGCGATTTTATAGCAAAATACACGTACCTATGTATCTCGCCGATATGACTCATGAACCATTTCGCAACCTCAATGATATTTTTATGCGACAAACAAAAAGTAGCGTTTTTTCTTATAAGCAAACTCAAAATTGAAGAATGAAAGGTTTCACGGCTAATTCTAATGCCATTTAGGTTTTTCAGGCTGTTGAGCCGGGGTCAGGCTGGATTTCACCTAAACAGCATTTACCCCAAAATCAAATTCACAATGAAGATAGAAGAGGACAATCAACTGACCTTCCTGACGTATTGGTGGTCAGACGAGAGAACTTAAAGCTGGGTCTCAGAGTTTACCGCAAAGCAACAAACAATGACAGATATCTACACAAGGACTCCAACCATCATCCTGGATAAAAAAGAGGTGTCATTAAAAATCTGAAAGACATGGCACACCTAATTTGTGAACCTCGATACCTGCAGGGGGCGCTGGATCATGTTAACATGGTTTTACAAGCGAACGGCTATCGCAGGGACCAAATAAAACAGGTTTCACGACAAAAAACAGACCGCCGGCAGAAGACAAGGAGCCACCTACGGGAATCTCCTTCCTACCATACATTAAAGGCATTACGGATAGAGTAGGAAGGTTGCTGCAAAAACACAACGTCAAGACCATCTACAAGCTGACAAATAAAATCCAGCAACTCTTAACATCAATAAAGGACCCTAGAGACCCCCTGAGCGGTGCCGGCGTATACAGAATACCGTGTTCCTATGGTAAAATATACGTAGGCACCACTAAACGTAGCTTTCAAACACGCATTAACGAGCATGAAATAATCTGGGACAAACTGATAAATCAGCAATGGCCTAAAACGCACTCCAAGACGGCAACGATATTCTGTTCGACCTAATTGAAGTCTTATCCACCCACTACTCAGCCCGAACGTGCAGAGAAGTAATTGAAATCTACAAACACAATGATAACTTAAACAAACACAACGTGGTTGCCAGTCACGTCACTCAAAGGACCCAGAGTACCCCCACCAGACAGCTCAATCCTCAGTCCCCCGATCGCCTATAAAACCGCACGCCCATCCAGTTGACCGATCAGTTTAGACGACCCGCCAAGCCGAGCACTTCGCTCTCGCCGACAGCGCCACTCAAGATGGCTACCGCAGATGTAGCCGAACGCTCTGGATTAAATCCAACCCAAAAAGCCTAAATGACAAACTCAAAATTCTTTGAGAGGAATTGAATATGCTGCGGCATTCGAAAAACATACGTCATTATACACATCTAAAAACAAAACGGCTGCGTTTACGACTTTCTGTTGCAAAGAAAAAAATCTTGTAAAAATTTCTCCATATTATTGTGTGTGTGTGTTTCGCATGATCAAAGATGAGCCTTAAAGTTTATAAAAAAATAATTCCATGCCGCAATGCACTGAATTGTTTGAAAGTTAGCACGCAAACTGAAAACACAATTATTTCAAAACTGTCTTAGCCATGTTAATATGGAGTATGTGCTGAAAATGATGACTACATGACTTTATCGAGTAAGTTGTTCACTTTTTTTCTAAACATTCCAATATAGTGTACGTTTGTTTTCCGAACGTCGTACTAAACCACTGCTGATCCAAAGTGTTGAAAAATAAACTCGAGGAAGCGAAAAAACAAATATCAACCAATACTATGGAACTGTCCACCCAAAAAATTAGACAAAATGTTCAGTATTACTATTGAATATATTATTAAAAGTTTCAGCTTTGTATCCATCAGGATTATGGATTATTCTTATTGTTTATATAGTTGTAGTCACTGTTATTGGCGGTTACGTCATCAACGCCATATGAAATAAGTAAACAGATCGAGTCTCCGTACCATGAGCGGAAAATCTGCAGCGCATCTGCTACTCTCTCCAGTACGCATGAAGTGGGTAACAGGGGACCGCTGTTTTCATTCTCTTCCTGAAAATACTCTAATAAATTTAGCACGAGCTGTCGGCCTTCTCCATTGATCGTATTTCCGCGCATTGTTTAATTTTATGTTGAAGACTGGTATTATGACAACTCAAATTGGTCGCCGATGTCAAGTAAGTTGTCACTCTGACAAATACGACTGAATGGCACTCATACGTAACGACGAAGTTTTCGAGAC